GCAGTAGAAGGGAAGAGAGAAAGAGACAGAAAGGGAGAGAGAAAGAGGAGAGAAAGAAAAAAAGAAAAGAAAACAGAAGCGCCGCTGTTACACCTCGGTTCGTGCGACATTATTATTTTCACGCGGGTTTTGGCGTCCGCGTATCCCCCGTGTCGCCGGGCACTCCGGTTTGTTTTTCCTTTCTTTTTTCCGTTGCGTTACAGGACTAGCAGGTAGGCACCGCGCAACACCCGAAATCCACCTCCGGGGTCGAACACGCTCGATCGCCGTTGTCGTTGTCGTCGTCTCGTTGAACCGGCTGCGAAGGGACTCCGCAATCATGGCTAGTGTCTCCTATCAAATAGCGAATCTGCTGGAGAAGGTAATAAACGGCGCTAATAACGATAACGATAGCGATCGAGGAAACGAAATCACTTGTCCCAACGAAATCTTTTCTACCACGCTTCCTTTTGTTCTCCGCAACATAACCTCTCGCATCTACCTAAGACGGTCTCGACGAGGGACGATTAGGGCCGTTAACCCTACCATGACTCGCGTGGGGTTTAGACTACACCCCAGCCATAAAAGTCTACTAAGTTCACATCGTAGCTTTTTTTATCGATCGAACGTCGCACAATTTGTTTCGCAATTAAAGAAGCATCCTTGTACTTATCTTTAGAAGATACGTCAAATATTTTCAATCTTTATTTAATGCAAATGTAATTTTATGTAAATCAAAGGGAACAATGAAAATTGATGTTACATTGGGATGTGAGAGACACCCCACGTGGGTAATTTTTTTAAAAAATATTGTTAAAAAATAACTATATGAGTAATATAGAGTCAAAATAGTTCATTCAAAAAGATAAGGAAAGCGATCATGGATTAGGCACTTCTTGATTTTGGAGTATTTTCTGTTTATCTGTTTAGTCCTAATCAAAGTGGTTTGTTTTGTTTCCTTGAGCAGACAAGATTGTATTCTATCTACAGGCTGTATAATATTATGTCAGTCCTAATATTATGTTATGATAAGGAACTGTTATGTAGTGTAGAACTGTATAGATTGGAGGAATTCTTTAATCTTCTACTAACCCGTGGAACATAGCAGAAAAATGTTGTTTTATATAGCGTTCATGTGAATATGTGTAGAACGCACATGAACAGCGACAGTCATGTATTTTTTCACATGTAGAGCAATATGTCTTTAAAGTTTTAGTCTTTAAAGATTCTTTAACATGTAATTATTTTATGATTAATGTGTCACATATCTTTATTATATATGTTTACATGATATGTTCCTTGTTTCTTGTTACTTGTAATATGATTCACAAGCAAGATCTTAGTTTATGGTAAATTCCTTGTTTTTTATTACTTGTTAATATGATAGCACGTATACTCCCTTTGCAGATGACGTCCAGCGACAAGGACTTCAGATTTATGGCAACTAACGATTTGATGAGCGAGTTGCAAAAGGACAGCATCAAGCTGGATGATGATTCTGAGCGCAAAGTTGTAAAAATGCTTCTTAAGTTATTGGAGGACAAGAACGGAGAAGTACAAAATCTTGCCGTCAAATGGTACATTCCTTTGTCTAGATACCATGCTAAAACAATTTCTAGTAGATCCTTTATATATTATTCATATAGAGTGTCTTACATATTGATTTCTTTATGCAATAACAGCATAAAGTTATAAATTACTAAAATAAATGAAATAAGAAAGTAGATTGAAGCGCAAAGAGTTACACATATTTATCTTCCTTTGATTCTTTGTCAGATTTTACAATTATAAGAACATATACGATTTTAGCTTGGGCCCATTAGTCAACAAAGTAAAAGACTACCAAGTCGAAACCATTGTGGATGCTTTATGTAGCAATATGGTGTCAGACAAGGAACAGCTGCGCGATATCTCGAGCATTGGCTTGAAGACTGTTATTTCCGAGCTTCCTGTGGGTTGTAGTGCGTTAGTTGCAAACGTCTGTAGACGTGTTACAAACAAGTTAAGCAGCGCTATTGAAAAGGTAAACGATCTTTATCTCATTTTTTTGTTGTAAAATTTCATATCTCTGACTGATGATATATATACATGTATGTATAATGCATTTACAGCAAGAAGATGTATCCGTACAATTAGAAGCTCTCGATATTGTAGCCGACTTATTGTCTCGATTTGGCACCTTGCTAGTCACATTTCACCCTACAATTCTGACTGCATTATTGCCGCAACTCTCCTCGCCGCGACAAGCGGTCCGTAAACGCACTATAGTAGCGCTGAGTCACCTGTTGACGTCCAGCAACAATTATTTATACAACAAATTGCTGGATCATCTTCTCGAGGGTCTTCAAACTCAAACGACGAAGAACGTTATACGTACCTATATCCAGTGCATTGCTTCTATCTGGTCGGTAGACAATTTGTATTACGTGCGAATAATTGATAGAGGGGAACAAATTACCATGTGACGTGTCTAAATTTATTGCAGCCGGCAAGCGGGCCATAGATTCGGCGAGCAAATAGAGCGCGTTATGCCGTTGATCGTTCAATACAGTAACGAGGACGACGATGAATTGAGAGAATACTGTTTGCAGGCATTTGAATCTTTTGTTTATAGATGTCCGAAAGAAATTACGCCGCACATAAATAAGGTACATAAGTTGAATCCATCTTATGCCTTACACAGATATTTATATATTGTTTACTAAAATCTTTGATCTTTTAGATTATAGAGATCTGCCTAATGTATATTACATACGATCCAAACTATAATTACGACGATGATGTCAACGAGTTCTCTGATGGAGAAGGTGCCGCAATGGACGTAGAAGAAGACGGAGATGAAGATGCGGAGGATGAATATTCCGATGACGATGATATGAGTTGGAAAGTTCGTAGAGCAGCTGCAAAGTGTCTGGAAGCGGTTGTATCCAGTAGAAGAGAGTTATTATCAGACCTTTATAAGGGGGTTTCTCCTGCATTAATTGCCAGGTTTAAAGGCAAGTATCGCGCGTATTGAATTCCGAAATTTGTTTATCAAAATGCAAAGAAGGTATCTCCAGTTAATTAAGAAATCTTGTTCATGATCCAGTAATTAATGAAAATTTACTGTAATATTGCAGAAAGAGAAGAAAATGTTAAATCAGACATCTTTCATGCATATATCGCTTTATTGAAACAAACGAGGCCGGCTACTGGCGTGGCGCTCGATCCTGACGCGATGGACGATGACGACGGGCCCACTTCGTTGTTGCAACAACAAGTACCGCTAATAGTGAAGGCAGTTCATCGTCAGATGAAGGAAAAGAGTATCAAAACGAGACAGGATTGCTTCTCTTTGCTGAAAGAACTGGTGCTCGTTCTGCCTGGAGCTTTAACTAATCATATTCCAGCACTGATCCCCGGTATACAATATTCCCTAGGAGATAAGAATTCTTCCTCGAATATGAAAATCGACACTTTAGCTTTCGTGCATACGCTATTGGTGACGCATCAACCCGAAGCGTTCCACGTTCACATGCCCGTTTTGGCACCTCCGATTATACTAGCAGTGGGAGATTCGTTCTACAAGATCGCTGCCGAAGCGTTGCTCGTGTTACAGCAACTTGTACAAGTTATCAGACCTCACGGTAAGTCATTTTACATTTCCGATTTTTATTTGCAGTCGTGGATACAAGAGCAATATTTATAACGGATTAATATACCACTTATAGAGAAACCATTCTATCGCGGTTTTACTTCATTGTCCAACGAAATATATCAATGCACCTTGATGAGGCTCAAAACGGCGGATATCGATCAAGAGGTGAAGGAAAGAGCTATATCTTGCATGGGACAAATCCTTGCACACTTTGGAGATACTCTGTCAGACAAGCTACACGTATGCCTACCTATTTTCCTAGATAGGTTGCGCAACGAGATAACAAGGCTTACTACTGTTAAGGCTCTAACTTGCATAGCCGCGTCTCCTCTGAGAGTCGATCTGAAACCGATTATGGTAAATTTATAAAGTACAAATATACGATTGAGAAACTGCACAATTCTTTCTTTACAAGCTGTTTTGTCGCCTTTTGTAGGAAGAAGCAATACCCATTCTTGGGTCTTTCTTGAGGAAAAATCAACGAGCTTTGAAACTTGCTTCTCTTCCTCTTCTGGATACATTAGTACGCAATTATAGCTCGGCTCTGCATCCAGATTTACTTGATAAGGTATGAACGTTATTTACTATATATTGTATATCAATATTTAAAGGGTCACTGGATGATTATTTCCAATTTTTTTTTTTTTACAGGTTACTGCGGAGTTACCTGCATTACTAAACGAGTCAGATCTGCACATTGCGCAATTAACGTTGAATCTTCTCACTACCATAGCGAAGCTACATCCCACTGCCCTGACCAGGGTTTCCGAACATATCTTGCCTGAAATACTCATTTTGGTAAAGTCGCCGCTTCTTCAAGGTAGGTGTACCTCGCTTTAACATTAAACAAATTAGAAATTTCAGTACGCTTATACAAATTGAACTGAATTTTTGTCAAACAGGTGTCGCATTAAATTCAATGCTTGAGTTTTTCCAAGCCTTAGTTCAAGCGAATTTGCCAGATCTGGGATATAGAGATCTTCTCGCGATGTTACTAGTTCCGGTTACTTCATCCCTACTTCATAAGCAAGCTTATCACTCGTTGGCTAAGTGTGCAGCCGCCCTGACAATCACTTGGCACGATGAAGCGCAGTGCATTGTACAACAATTGCTGAAAGACGTTCAAAATCCAACGGATATTCAGAACGTTGCGCAACACATATTCGCCTTGCTGGTCATTGGAGAGATAGGAAGACACGTGTAAGAGAATTGTGATTTATTTCTAATGAACTGTATTATAAGAAAAAAAAGATTTATCTTTGAAATAATGTTTCCACAGAGATTTAAGCGGAATTAATTCATTGAAACACACGATTCTAAATTCATTCTCATCTCACTCGGAAGAAGTTAAGTCCGCGGCCAGTTATACGTTGGGAAATATCGCAATTGGAAATCTTCCTGAGTATCTACCTTTCATACTTCAGGAGATTGAGGCGCAGCCCAAACGTCAATATCTGCTTTTGCATTCGTTGAAGGAGGTAACATTCGTGCAGTAATAGTCTTTATTCCCGTTCAAGCTCATCGGAATAGGAAATCCATTTCTAAAGTACTATTTGTCTTTGCAGATCATTACAAGTCAATCAGCCAGTCCATCTGGCGTGTCAAACTTGCAGAATTTCGTGCCTTCGATCTGGATGCTCTTGTACAGGCATTGCGAATGCACGGAAGAAGGTACTCGTAACGTCGTGGCCGAATGTCTCGGTAAACTGACGTTAATTGATCCCGCTACTCTGTTACCAAGACTGCAAGAATCGCTCAAGTCACCATCAGCTCTTATGAGAACAACGACAGTCACCGCAGTTAAATTTACCATTTCCGATCAGGTACTTAGCCACAACTTATAATATCATCTATATTATACGTATAGTATCATATATATCGACGTATCATATATCATATCTATTTCTGTTCTTTAAGGAATGAAGCACAACGATTTATTACCTAGTTTACCTCGAAATTTATTTTTCTCTTATTTCTCTTCTATCTCAGCGAAATAATATATTTTCGCTCAATAGCTTTTGTATTATATGCGAGTTTGCAGAATCGGGTATTGAACCCGGTCTCTTATTTGACAAACTGTTTTATCACCAAGCTATTCAGTGCCCTAACAAATGTATCTAATTTAATATTTATATATTTACAGCCACAACCAATAGATGCCATGTTGAAGCAATGTATGGGTAATTTCTTAGTCGCTTTAGAGGATCCTGATCTTAACGTGCGTAGGGTAGCACTAGTCGCATTTAATTCTGCTGCGCACAATAAGCCTATGCTGATACGGGATCTCTTAGACGTAGTGCTGCCGCATCTTTACGCGGAAACTAAGATCAAGGTTAGCAAGATTTAAATCTAAGAGAATACTAAATCTCAGTCTGAACTAATCAGTTCAGATTGTCCGTTGTCACCGAGACTTTGTCGTAATGTAATAAACTTTCCATTACAGAAAGAACTAATCAGAGAGGTCGAGATGGGTCCTTTCAAACACACGGTAGACGACGGATTGGACCTTCGTAAAGCAGCATTCGAATGTATGTACACCTTGCTGGATTCGTGTCTCGATAGGCTGGACGTCTTTGAATTTCTAAATCATGTGGAGAACGGTCTTAGGGACCATTATGACATCAAGATGCTGACTTATCTCATGACCGCGCGACTCGCGCAATTGTGCCCGACTGCAGTCTTGCAAAGTGAGTATATCGCGCACGATTGTTTATATTTGTACTAGAATTCTTGATAGTTTAGAACATTTAATATTCTAATCCTACGCTCCAATATTTATCATATAGGGTTGGAGCGATTAGTCGAGCCGCTGAAAAGTACTTGCACGATGAAAGTAAAAGCGAACTCAGTGAAGCAGGAGTATGAGAAGCAAGACGAATTGAAACGCTCTGCGTTGAGAGCCGTTGCAGCATTGTTAACTATTCCTGATGCAGGTAAATAGAATTGTTTTAAAATTAAATTAATTTAAATAAAATCCTATTTTCAAAACATTTATCTATTTATAAAATTTTTTAAAACTTTAACTCAAAAGAACTAAATTAACTAAAAATGATCTCAATTTATATACCTACAGCATGAAATTTGATATATAGTAGTAGTAATTATTTTACGCTTCTTGCGGGGTACAAAAAGGACTCCCGCTCCTTTTACATTGCCTCTTCTTTAACCTACCTATCCTCCTCCTCCCCCTCTCTCTCACTCACTTACTCATAAACTTACGATATATGTGCGACGTTTATTTGCAGATAAAAATCCATCGTTGAGCGAATTTGTGGGACAGATTAAGGCCACGCCGGAACTGTTGCCGCTCTTTGAGATAATACAAAAGGACTGTACCGGCAATAACATGAACGAAGCAAACGCAATGGATCAGAGCTAAGAATAATTGACTTAATTCTTTTTTGTATTTCGTATAGATGAACGTGGGTTAAGCGCATTCGTGATCATACTCTATCCATAGTTTATTTCTATACATTATTTTTTCATTATTATATCTTCGATTTGAAGGTAGTTTCTAATGAATGTGAGTTAATGTAGCACATCATGTATAAATTTTAAAATAAATTTGCCGGCAATAATCATTTTATTATCATTTATATGTGTAATTTCCCCTTGTATGGTACAGATTAATCTCTATATACATACGTATGTAGATATAATAAACACTCCACGCAGGGCAAAATTATTAAAGAAAAAATTCGAGAAAAGAGGCGCTATCGAGACAATGCAAAAAATAAAAATAGCGATTATAAATGTGCGATATGTTTGGCCATTTGTGAGTGTTCAATTAGATCCGTTTTGCAACATTTGATGATCTCATTGCATACAGTACAACGTGCGTTATTTTCCGAACAAGCCAACCATCCTTTAAAAATGTTTTCGTTTAGCCATGAAGCTTGGAATTTGTTAACTTCACGCTTTTTAATTGCTCCTTTTCCTACATTTATATCCATTATCAAAATAAACGATATAATACGACTTGCCTTAACCTATCGACCTATCAACCTGTCGAAAGCGCGCTAAAACCTGCCCAAACCTGCCAGAGCCAGCGCCAAAAATCGTTAAAATCACAGAGCGTCCCCTAGGGCTGCGTTCGGATTCCCCACCCGAGTCACCCGAGTGCTAAAAATCCTATAGTATATGTCACGTGCACTATAGATTTTCAGCACTCAGGTGGGGAATCGGAACGCACTCTAGTTTGACCACGTTGCGATTGACCATCAACATTTGTCACGTGCGCCGCACATTTCCGCTCTGCGCATGCGCCACGTAGAACATGGAATGAGAGTAGAGTGAGAGAAAATTTCGGGGTAAAGCGGATAAAGAGAATAAAGAGATGATTTTAGAATAGGAGAAGCCGAACGACACAGTTTTCTACAGGTTTTTGAAATGTAGAATTATTCTATTCGTATGTCGCGATTATTTTATTAATTGTATCGCGGGCCGCATGCGAATCGAAAATCCAATTTATCATCGACATCAGCACCAAGAAAAGAGAGAGTACCATCTATATATTATATAATCTAAATCGTATCTGACATCTGACACTGACAGAACGCCGCACGCCGCGTTTAGCCGGAGTCAATTGGAGTTTGATAACGTGTCCCAAGCAATAATTAATTTTACAGGATTTCTATTTGTTTATATTAGATTTATATTGAATTTGCCTCTTTTCCGAAGATACCACTCAAAAGTACCGTGCGTTAAAACGGAAAAGAAAAAACAGATGACATCGAGCATAATTTCTCCATCACCGATAACGCTGTTATCAATTATCACTACGTTTTAGTGACAGACATAGATGTGGCAATTTAGAATACGGATTTACATTTTATTAAATTACACCAAATTGCAATCCCAAAATTATTTTCTACCGCTCGGTTGAAACATTTCAACCGTGTAGAACCAATTTCGCAAACAGCAGTAGCAACATGCGAGGGACAATAATTTGACATATCAATGCGGATTGTCAATTACAGTAGCCGCTTGATTATTCGGCATCCAGCCGAGATTATTGTCCTAGAAATTGTGCCAGAAACTTTGTCAAGATGCCACTGGAAAAGGGACTGGCGTCAAAGTACATGTATATCACGTTTGTGATAGCAGCATATTGGTAAGTCACAAAATGATATCGAGTCGCTCACATATCGTTCAACCTGCCTTAAATATATTTTTATACATTTAAATATATTTAAATATATTAGAAGTTGATCTTGTCTTAGGATTATACTTATTTTTATAATTCAAAGTCTCACCAATTTCTCGGTCAAAGGGCTCTTTTCTTTAAATGCATTTTTAAATAATTTTCAGGGTAGTGTCCATCCTGACTGTATTCATGAACAAAGCACTCCTGTCCAGTGACACTGTGAATTTGGATGCTCCTCTATTTGTAACTTGGTTTCAATGTATAGTAAGCGTAGCTATCTGTGTTACTTTACACAAAATGTCCCACTGGTTCCCAGACTACATTGAAATTGCGGATGGTAGTCCATTTAAAAGAGACACTTTGAAAAAGGTATGTAAATCGCTTTAGGAACATTGTACAACGTAAATGTAATAATTGTTTTTTTTTTTTTTTTTTGTTTTGTTACAAATGATTGGAAACTAATTATTCCATTTGGAGGAAAATCATTGCATATAAATTTTATCTACTTTAAATTAAAAAAAAAATAGATACTTAATAAATTTAACAGAAAAAGATGAACTCTTGATTAGAATATATAAAAGAATGTAACTTTAAATCTTGTGATTTCTCTGCAACAACAGTTGACAATGTTTATGGCTGAAAGAGAAGATATAAAGTGTTTTATGTTTTGTAAATTTTTTATAGGTACTGCCATTATCAATTCTGTTCACTGCAATGATAGCGACTAACAACTTGTGCCTGAAACACGTCGGCGTCGCATTTTACTATGTGGGCCGTTCGCTAACGACAGTATTTAACGTTGTGTTTACCTACATTTTACTCGGTGAGAATCCTACGCGAACAAATCCGTCTAAACCGAGTGGAAATTATCGGAGTAACTAATCAGCGAAAGTTTGCAGGGCAAACGACGTCTCTGAAATGCATAGCATGCTGCGCGGTGATTATTGCCGGGTTCTGGTTAGGGGTGGATCAGGAGCATGTAGCGGGCTCCCTGTCCGTTCTCGGGACCCTGTTCGGCGTGCTTGGATCGTTGTCGTTATCCTTGTACTCCATCCGCATGAAACAGACGCTCCCGGTCGTAAATCAGGACATCTGGTTACTTTCCTATTATAACAATGTCTACAGCATTATCATCTTCATCCCGCTAATGATAATCAGCGGTGAACATACAACCGTGTATAATTACGAGAAGCTTGGACATCCCCTTTTCTGGACTGCCATGACGATCGGCGGTGTATTCGGCTTCGCCATCGGATACTTTACCGCGCTTCAAATAAAAGTCACATCTCCTTTGACGCATAACGTTAGCGGTACCGCGAAAGCATGCGCCCAAACGGTTTTAGCGACTTACTGGTTTAACGAAAAGAAATCGTTTCTCTGGTGGCTAAGCAATATCGTTGTTCTCACTGCCAGTGGGTTTTACGCGAGGATCAGGCAACTGGAGTTGAGTAAAGAGTACAAAATCGAGACGCAACAACTTAAAGTCTAACAACTGGTAATGAGGCGTAGCAATTTTATTAAAATGTTTTTATATTTATAAAGTATTATTTTACGCAACCGTATATAAATATATGTATATAAATGTTCTCTTAAGGAGATATATCATATGGAAGAGATGCTATTCTTTACATGTACATGCAAACTGCAGAAGTTTATTCGACAGTTTTGCAAAAGTATGTATATATATATGTATATAAATATGTATAAAATATCTCTGCATTTAAAACAGTATTATAGTATCAAATATTTTAAATATTAAGTTTATGATGTTTACAGTCTAGCCTGTTTACTACATGACGTTTAAAAAACAAACTATTTCATGTCACAAATGTTTGTGTAGCCGAAATTATCCCTAATATCACAGTATTATATAATCTCCAAGCTTCTCAGAGATTGCTGATCATTTGTGTATACGCTCTTAACAATGCGTATATGGCTTAAAATCGTGATGCAATTCCATTTCCACGACTATCCGAGTGACTCGATAGTGAATCTTTCCTTTTAACAATTGCGTTTACGCTTCTCATGGATGAGCTATCGTCGTGAGACAACGGCGATATCATGGAATACAATCGAGCCTGCAACGCAGCCTCCATCGAGTGTCTTTGATTATCTTCAATCACCATACCGTCAGAGACAAAATAGTACCTATAAAAAGATTGAATAAATTGATACGTTGTAAATATACCTCACGCCTATTTATTTGAGATTATTAAATTTCTTATATACCTGGGATATTCTATCGCGGCAGAAACGTTTAGTGCGCGCACGATAAGATTGTAGAGAATTTGGCCGTTAAGAAAAACATCGTTCGAACCGAGCACTCCACGCAATCCGCATATTCCTCCATCGTAATGAAAAATAATAGGGATGAACGTGGACAAATCATTGTCATCGATATTGTCCAAAAAGAATCCAGCCATTCTGTTCCCGGAACCGAAAGGTGAACTCAGACCACTGCATCATTTATAACATGTTAGTGCAACGAGACCGTTCAGTTATCTAATAGATGTATAGAAATATAATTGCGTCTTGTGTTACTAACGATAAGATGGTAACATAGGTGTCTTGCCAATCCATTGCCATGACTCCAGTGTACGTTTCTTTTTTCACGTCTAAAATTATTATTATGAGATTAATAGAAAATTACGCGCAGATCTGTGATAATAAAAAAAGAAAAAAAATAGTACGTGTCTCACCATGTTGCAAGTTTTGAAAAAACTGTAGAAATACATTCATCAACGTTTGAGCAACAAGAACTTGAGATTCTATAGTAGATGCATTTCCTGCTAAAATTGGAAGGTTTTCCAGTGCTTCGATCACCTCTTGCATAAAAGACGCGTGCGACGGATAATAAATTGTATGGCGATGTAACGTTGTGCTCCTCGCCATCGTTACGGTAGGCTCGTAACTCGCCAATTGTTGCAGCAATCTTTCACGGAGCGTAGTATTTTGTAGAATTTCATGGGACAAGGTACCGTTATATAACGCTAAAAGAAAATTTTTAATATTAATAATCCAATCGTGCAGTTCAAGAAAATCAAGACAAAGTTGCATGAGAATTAGGTATCTACGATTCACAGAGTTGCAAAATACATTTACCCGTTGCACCGTAGTGCGCTATAATATCCAACGTCCTTGTAAGTTCGTGCAATTGCAGTCTATCGCCTGGACTCAAAGGCCCGGCGTAAAATATCTCATAATCTGTATTCTTCGCCACTTCGTCCGCAAGATCCTTAGATATAACGAATCCTTCCCGAGTCAACTCAACGACGGGTTCTACGACGTCGCGCCATGCCAAACTGCCATACGACCTTTGAGCAAATTCTAATCCTTTTAGCAGAGCTGGCAAACGTATTCCAGCCTCGGCAAAGAAACCTGAAGCAGAGAAATTGTGTGAGTAACATATATTTTTCTTTCTTTATATGTCATACACGTTAAATCAATGCGCAAAATTGCATTTACCCGTGGTTGTATTACTTGCAAAATCAATAACAATCGGATGAGTGTAATTTTTGTAATTATATATCATTATGTAACCGCCTCTGGAAACAAAATCAAGATTTAGAAAGGACGACGATGAAGATCGGTTAGCCAATATCTTACCCGCCAAGACCGGTTTTATGAGGCGCTACCACAGCCATGCAAATAGTCGCTGCTACCGCAGCATCGACGGCATTGCCTGATCTGGCTAGTATTTTGGTACCAATTTGGGAACAATTGGAATAATCCGTGGCAACTGCTCCATGAGCACCGTGAAGGCTGCTCTGAAACGAGACGAGGATATTGTCAGAATGTTTTATTACTTCTTATTGCCCTCTTTTCTATTTTTAGTATCTATACCTGCGGTATACTTTCGGTGTAAAGAATCTGCAACACCAGCATGGTGGTGATGGCAAAAGTCAACGCGATAAAGCAGAATATGATGAATTTCAGCCCATTGCCGCAGTAGGCACAGAGTCGGTACCCGTAGCTTCTCTCCTTCGTCAAAGGACATTCCTCTGTGAGACCTGCAAATACGCTGACTTGTAATCCTTTCCTTTTGTTGAATATATGACACAAGTACAAGTCGTTATCCTAAAAACTACTGACTTAGGACGATTTTGACTAAATTACCGATTAACTTATCAATATCTGCATAATTTTGTTGATATGGATAGAACAAATAAATAAATAATTTTGTTTTAATACATGGGAAGAAATATTAAATTAAGGACTATAAATTGAGCAGTTAGAAATTTTGCAATAAACAGTTCTGCCAGTTTTGAATTAATCACGATGATCAAGAAATGCAAATGTAGTGCAAAATATTTAGGCCAATGCACAGAGCGAAAGGCGTTTGCGCTTACGTGTATTGTAACTCATTTTCCAAAGTTCGTCACTTTGTAATAATAATCTTGCACGTTACCGCGATATTTGTGACTTGAGTTTCTTTCAAAATATTGAGAGAAAATTGCAAGCAATAACGTCAACAAAAACTCAATGTAAAACAGAAACGAAAAAAACGGAAAAGGAAAACTAGGGAGGTCTTCCGTCCTTCTTCAGACAGTTTGATACATTCCACCGCCTCCAGTAGAAATCTGAAAGGAACTAGATAATAACTAGGTAACGTGCAGCGGGTTTTTCAAGTTTATTATTCGACAAGACGTAAAACATGTGCGAAACCGTAACTTTGCGAGACTCGAGTACATCTCTGAGTTTCTCCCAGTTTCTCCTTACGAATCCGTATTAAATATACATCCTAGAAAATCGGTAGACGAGTCGTCCTCCCAACAATTAATATATTTTTCTTTACATCGTACACGCGAAGCACTAAAATTACACCTAGTCAATTCCATCGAATCGGACGCGTTTGGTTTTATGTTGTAATAACTTTCCAGAAACTCCAGCACGGATGATTTATTTTGCAGACTATTGAACAACATTCGTTCCGTCCTCGGCAAGATTTTTTCCAACATGAATACCAGATGATGGTGGAAACACTGAAATTCAGTCGGCACGGTCGACGTAATGTCCAACCAATCTTGAACGCAGGCGAGCGGAGTAGCGGAGAGTCCCGAGAACAACGCCGGATTAGTTAAAATACCCCTGGCGGACATCACCCCCTCGCATCCGGATTCCTTGAACAAGGATTCCGCGCTCTCCAGGCTTTTCGCGTCACCGTTCGCCACGAGGGGCAGCCGTACGTGATCCCTGAGAAGCTTCAGCTTGTCCAAATCGATCGGTTCGTTACGCATCTCGGGAGTCCTCGCGTGAATCGTCAAGAACGAGGCGTCGGCCTTCTCCAGAGTTTGGCACAACGCTATCGTCTGGCGTATATCTTTCAACAAACGTATCTTTGCGGAAACGGTGAACGGCCTTGGAATACGATTTCTGACTTGTGACACCAGATCCTTGACGAGCTCTGGTTTTCTCAACAAATCAGCCCCGTATCCCTCTTGCATGGCCCAGCGTTGCGGACAGCCACAGTTCAGGTCTACACCGTTGCAATATCTGTTAATCGGAGGAATAAAATACACGAGAAAAACAAGAGTACACTTGTACCGTCAAAATTTATAAAATGTATACAAACTGTGATTTGTGACTTACGGCGCAACCATTTCTGAAGCGTCGACAAAGTCGTTTACAGTCTTAGCCGCAAATTGAACGATCAGTGGCTGATCTTTTTCGTGCGTGGTAAATTCGTTGTCCCGAGCTTTTGAGGATTGCACGAACGAGTCCGCCAGGATCATGGGTGTGAAGCATATGTCGCATCCGTACCGTCTCACAAGTGTTCTGAACTGTAGCCTAGAAAAAAGTGCGGAGTTAATTAATATAATACACGCGCAATGCGTAAGTCAAAGAACATTGCCTCCACTCACTTGCTATATCTGACCATCGGGGCACAGATTTTTATCATTCTTGGCTCTTTTAACATTTCCACCACGTCGGTAGTAGTCATTATTAAAATATTTTCGGTAACCACTTAGATTAAAAAAAAAATGACAAGTTCCCGTCTGTTTACATTGAATGTAAAGACAGAGGAAGAGTTCAGCAACAACAAAAACTTCAATTATACTACTTTGGATCTTGGATTCGCGTTTTGTTGTTGACACGCATGTTTAGCATCTCCCACTACGCGATTACCGCCATGGCGCCATGTCCGCCATATTGACGTTCGGAAACATCACACCCGAGTGCACACGAGTATACTCCCTTCTCTTTCTATCTTAGCGAGTTAGAAGGAGAAGGAACTATACCCGTGTGTACCCGACGTTACCGAACGCAGCCATTGGGCGCGTTCAGCAGACACAACTGTTGAGTTCGTCTTATCAACACTCCGCGTTGATTAGTTGGTTCTAACAGTAAGAGCCAATCACGTTCGACTGCTACTGAGCGGTTTGGTCTGCCGAACGCGACCATTGTCGGCTTGTCGTCGTCGTCGCCACTCGTCGCCAGTGTCGCCATATCGCTTCAGTGTGTATCTTCGCCGGGTGTTTGGCGTTGATTTGTGATTATTCGTGCTCCATTAGCAGAAATTGCAAGAAAAATTGCGACTAACGTGGAAGCTACATCCCGAAATCGCGTATTTCGCACGCTGAGAAAAAATGAGCAATATATTCGGTCTCGAAGACAGTAAGTGAACCAAAACAATTAGAATTAAATTAAGGTTAGGATATCTCGTAAACCTTCGCAATTTTGCGGTCTTCACTTTCTTTATGATATTCCCAATACTTTTGCTTGAATCTTTTACTCCCGCTAATTTTTAAAGAAATTCTACGATATTTATTATCAAAGTTGCCTTTCTGCCTTTTGAGTTTTGCGAACTTTTGTTAACACATCGAATACCGAATCTAATTCGCTCATCTTTGCTGTCAATACCAAAGTGAAATTTTCATCAAATTTGATCCACATGTCGATGAAATCTTATATAATTGATTTATGCAAAAGTATCATGTATGGTACATTTATTATTTTAGATTTACTTTAATATTAATTGTATTTATAAACTTATAAGTGCTATTTTTTATAGTTTTATACACTTTTGTTCAGTTTGCTCATGCAGGATTGCTGCAGTCTTATTCTGTAACTCTAAACAACAGTGTCGGCATTGTTATGTTGTCATCGCACAGGTATAATATACGACAAAAAAAAACTGTGCAACAACAATATAACGATAATGATACTCTCATCAAGAGTTATCAAGAATAGGCCTGCTGGATTTGTGTGCTTGTTGCTGTATGAACAGTGTCGCTAGCTATTTTGCTGGCTTGACTTCAAACTTTACAGGCTTTCATGCTGACTGAGCAGTTGGAACCTGCTTAATTTAAAAAAATCCCTAAAATGCTACTTTTACTTATTTCCAGGTCAATATGATGAGGAAGATGCGGACGAAATCTCGTCCAAACTTTGGCAAGAAGCCTGCTGGATCCTCATCAATGCGTACTTCGACGAGAAAGGACTTGTACGGCAGCAGCTGGATAGCTTCGATGAATTTATCGAAATGTCCGTTCAGCGTATCGTGGAGGATTCGCCGCAGATAGAATTGCAGGCAGAGGCGCAGCACACCACGGGCGAGATAGAGAAACCTGTGAAACATTTGTTGAAATTCGAGCAGATTTACTTGTCGAAGCCGACCCATTGGGAGAAGGATGGCGCGCCGTCTCCCATGATGCCCAATGAAGCCAGATTAAGAAATCTAACGTATTCCGCGCCGTTGTACGTGGATATCACCAAGACGATCGAGAAGGACGGCGAAGACCCCGTAGAGACGCAGCATCAAAAAACATTTATCGGGAAAATACCGATTATGTTGAGATCAAAGTATTGCCTGCTCGCCGGTTTGTCCGATCGTGACTTGACGGAACTGAACGAATGCCCGCTGGATCCCGGTGGATATTTCATCATTAATGGCTCGGAGAAGGTTCTTATAGCCCAGGAGAAAATGGCTACAAACACCGTTTACGTGTTCAGCATGAAGGACGGGAAGTACGCCTACAAGGCGGAAATCCGTTCCTGCCTGGAACACAGTTCGCGTCCGACCTCGACCTTGTGGATCAACATGATGGCCAAGAGCGGTGCCAGCATTAAAAAGTCCGCTATAGGCCAACGCATCATCGCCATTATTCCTTACATCAAGCAGGAGATCCCCATAATGGTGGTTTTTCGAGCCCTCGGATTTGTGGCCGATCGCGATATCCTCGAACATATCATTTACGATTTTGACGATCCCGAGATGATGGAAATGGTGAAGCCGTCCTTGGACGAGGCTTTCGTCATACAGGAACAGAACGTCGCTTTGAATTTTATCGGTACTAGAGGCGCCAAGCCGGGAGTGACCAAGGAGAAGCGGATTAAATACGCCCGAGAAATCCTGCAGAAGGAGATGCTGCCGCACGTCGGCATAAGCGATTTCTGCGAAACCAAAAAGGCTTATTTCCTCGGCTATATGGTCCACAGATTGCTGTCGGCGTCTCTGGGACGAAGGGAATTGGACGATCGCGATCATTACGGTAATAAGAGATTGGACCTGGCCGGGCCTCTGCTGGCGTTTTTGTTCCGAGGTCTATTCAAAAATCTGATGAAGGAGGTACGCTTGTACGCGCAGAAATTCATAGATCGGGGAAAGGACTTCAATCTCGAGCTGGCTATCAAGACGAAAATCATCACGGACGGCCTGAGATACTCGCTCGCTACGGGTAACTGGGGCGATCAGAAGAAGGCGCATCAGGCGAGGGCGGGGGTGTCGCAGGTATTGAACAGATTGACCTTCGCGTCGACGCTGTCGCATTTGAGACGAGTGAATTCGCCCATCGGAAGAGACGGCAAACTTGCCAAGCCACGTCAGCTGCACAACACACTGTGGGGTATGCTGTGCCCCGCGGAGACCCCTGAGGGTGCCGCTGTAGGATTGGTGAAGAATCTAGCGCTGATGGCGTACATAAGCGTCGGCTCGCAGCCCTCGCCTATCCTAGAATTCTTGGAGGAGTGGTCCATGGAGAACCTTGAGGAGATAGCCCCGAGCGCGATCGCCGACGCTACGAAGATATTCGTGAACGGATGCTGGGTCGGCATCCATCGCGATCCGGATCAATTGATGGCTACTTTACGCAAACTGAGAAGGCAGATGGACATCATCGTGTCGGAAGTATCGATGGTCCGCGATATTAGAGACCGCGAGATACGGATATACACGGACGCTGGTAGAATCAGCAGACCTTTGCTCATAGTAGAAGGTCAAAATTTGCTGCTGAAGAAGAGGCATATTAACATGTTGAAAGAAAGAGATTACAATAACGACGGGTAAGCATCTAGGATATTCCCGCTTTCCATTCGTCTGCTTTTACGAATGTTGCGCTCGATATATGATCAATTTGTGTGTGTGTGTTACAGGTGGCAGGAATTAGTAGGTAGCGGAGTAGTGGAATACATAGACACCCTGGAGGAAGAAACTGTCATGATAGCTATGTCACCCGATGATCTCCGACAGGACAAAGAATACGCATATTGTACGACGTATACGCACTGCGAAATTCATCCGGCGATGATCTTGGGCGTGTGCGCTTCTATTATACCGTTCCCCGATCATAATCAGAGCCCTAGGAACACTTATCAGGTATCATGCGTAGATTTCAGTCGCTGCGTTTTTCTCTCTACCGTTTAACGTCTTTACGAGATCTAATACACAGAGTTGTTTTTCAGAGTGCTATGGGTAAACAAGCTATGGGGGTGTACATTACGAATTTCCATGTGCGCATGGACACCTTGGCTCACGTGCTCTATTACCCTCATAAACCGCTGGTCACAACAAGATCCATGGAGTACCTCAGGTTCCGTGAATTACCGGCCGGCATTAACAGCATCGTCGCGATCCTGTGTTACACGGGATACAATCAAGAGGACAGCGTTATTCTGAATGCGAGCGCCGTCGAGAGAGGCTTCTTCAGATCGGTGTTTTATCGCTCCTACAAGGAGTCCGAGTCGAAGAAGATCGGCGACCAGGAGGAGCAGTTCGAGAAGCCCTCGCGCTTAACTTGCCAGGGAATGCGCAATGCTATATACGACAAGTTGGACGATGACGGGATCATCGCACCTGGAATTCGAGTATCGGGCGACGACGTGATCATAGGAAAAACGATTACTTTGCCGGAAACGGATGATGAGGTAAAGTGATTGTATTTTAATTATCCTCTAACAAATAGACCTCTCTGATGGAAAAAGAGGATAACGTGCTTTATTCTTTGCTATTTGCCTTTTAGCTGGATAGTACAACGAAACGTTTTATGAAACGCGACGCGTCGACTTTCTTACGAAACAGCGAGACCGGTATAGTCGATCAAGTGATGCTGACGTTGAACAGCGAAGGATATAAATTCTGCAAGATCCGAGTGCGCAGTGTACGTATCCCGCAAATCGGCGATAAATTTGCGTCGCGTCACGGGCAGAAGGGTACATGCGGAATTCAATACCGGCAAGAAGACATGCCGTTCTCCTGCGAAGGTCTTACACCGGACATTATTATCAATCCTCACGCTATCCCTTCTCGTATGACTATCGGTCACTTGATCGAGTGCATCCAAGGAAAAGTTTCTGCCAATAAAGGTAATAACGGTAACACTTAGCAATACTTGGGTTTGAGATGGACAATGCTCTTGTACAAATTTGATACGTTTTTAGGAGAGATTGGTGACGCCACGCCGTTCAACGACGCTGTGAACGTGCAAAAGATTTCCACGCTTTTGCAAGAGTACGGTTATCAATTGCGAGGAAACGAAATGATGTGCAACGGGCACACGGGTCATAAGATCCTCGCGCAAGTCTTTATGGGGCCGACGTATTATCAACGTTTGAAGCATATGGTGGACGATAAGATCCATAGTAGAGCGAGAGGACCTGTGCAAATTTTAGTTAGACAACCTATGGAGGGTCGAGCGAGGTAATTATGTGTTATTATCTTTATTACTTTAATTATAATCTGTCATATCGATTCAAATGTAATACATATACATATAACTATGTATTTATCCAGGGATGGTGGACTTCGTTTCGGAGAAATGGAACGGGATTGTCAAATTTCTCATGGCGCGGCGCAGTTTCTGCGAGAACGTCTGTTTGAAGTATCAGATCCATATAGAATTCACATATGTAATTTTTGTGGTTTAATCGCTATAGCGAATTTGCGAAACAACACTTTCGAATGCAAGGGATGCAAAAACAAAACGCAAATTTCACAAATTAGGCTGCCGTACGCGGCAAAGTTGCTCTTCCAGGAACTAATGGCAATGAATATTGCACCTAGACTCATGATACAATGAGTCTTCTGTAAATAATTTATTTTACGTAAAGTATCATCGACTTATCATTGTATATACAGATTGCATACCGTATTGTCGTACAGTGACACGTAAGACAGATTGATGAAAAGCTTTTCATAAGTTTCTAATGTGAACTAGCAACTATTTATTAATAATAAAATGACAGTAATCTTTATGTATGTCAAACTTCATAATGCTTGATGTTTATCAATTTGTGCGAATAAAATAAATTGGTTTATCATATTAGTTATTAATCTCGCAAAAGAGTTGACCCGCCTATTAATTTGTATATGTGTTAACATCATGAAAACAACATGTAGTTCACGTATAAAAATGTGTTGCTTAAATAAATTTTGGATGTTCTTTTAAAAATTGTATTTAAAAAAGATTGATACAAATAAGGATTATTCAAAATAGTACGCATTATTTGAATTAATCATTAGGATTTCTTACAAGACACACATCTAAAACGCAGAATCGTGCTCTGCACAGAGGACAGGTACATTTGGAGGACAACCACGTTTCCGGTGTGTCCTCATCTTGTCTCGAGGCAAACCTGTTCAAGTAATGATAATAATAATATTAACAATAAACGATATCTGAATGTATGATATAAATAGGAGTAATCAAGAATAAATTATAGTAAAAATTTACCGACCATTTCGCCATACACTCTATACACCACATTGGACGGCAAAAACACGTCGTGCAGTCGTCAACGTCTCTATTTTCGGTACTGTTGCACAATCTGTTCAATTTAACATTCGACAACGCTTGCATGCATCCAATGCATTGACCTAACTCCTATATATGTATGAATCAATGTAATTGAAGTATATTGAAGACAAACAGACGAGAAGAGAAATCAAAATAATTGTGGCGATAACAAACGTGCCACTTGATACCTCGGCAGTATCGTAGAATGGATTTTTATCGACCTCTTCTTTGAAAGTGTCGATAAATCTGTCGAGCAAGGTTCTATGAAACCTTATATTGTGCAGTACAGCAATTGGCCGTGAAACTTTGTCCTGCAGATCCTTAAAATCTAATGCGTTTAATCTTATGTCGAACTCCTGTGCCATAGCTCGCATGGGTTTCACCTGGAAAAACGACACGTAGATCAGTGGATCATGGACAATCGGTAGCGATTTGTGTGTAGCTACGAGACTAATACCTGTATATTGATGAACTGAACTTGATCTCTCGTTGTGGGCGACATGAAATGGACGTCGCTCTTATTCACGACTAAGGTCGCGTCGCTTTGATGTGCCACTTGCAATTTATAAGGTGTGATCTTAATAATCCAATTGTCCGTCGCTATGACACGAGTTACGCTATTTGTGACAATAACGATTTTATCTATTCTAAAATGAAATGGTTATTTTAGTATAAATACATGTATTTACAGCATACACGCGTATGCGTGAGATTCACGTTCCCAAGTACAAGCTAGGTATTTGAACGAACCTTCGATACTCTGTATTAATGTCCGAGGCGACAGATGTCCATGGAGTATTATTATTGCCGTACACAGACAGATTCTTTGCTATCGGATGAGTGGCCCAATTGTTCACAGACCACTCGAAGACCTTGTTTAGCGTGTAAAGTGGAACAATCGTCGCACAGAGAACGATTAACGGTCCAAGGTAATTTCCATCATTTAGCAACAGCTTTTCGGCATCTATGTGATCGAAGAAGAGCAATCCTAAAACGTAGCCTGTACAAAGAGAGGATTGTACACCAGTAAACGCTTGTAAAAATGATTTAGAGCAGATACAATTGGATATAATTAGAGAAAAAAAACATATATATTACCCAGAGGTAGTGCAGAATGCAGAAGCAAAGTGGCTACGCTCCGCCTGATGTGATACTGTACGAAAAACTCATTCTCACTGCCAAGCCAATTTGCGAAGACATCTTTGACGGTCAGTCCCGCTGAGACAAATTCCGTCGGCGGATAGATTATACATCCGGACATCAGAAGATAAAACAAAGTATAGAAAAGTACAGCTGACATTTTTTCATTTAGAGAAAAGTAGAGGGGAGACTCGCCGTTTGTCAGCAGCGTAGCAACGACCTGTTTGGAATAATTTCGTAGATTATTTTAGCACCATCCTCTCAGCTGAATTTTTCGTAAAAGTAACAATTGGCGATGGATTACATTCAGTGAGTTACATTCAGTGACACGCGGACTGCAGGTGTCTTTTCATAACTGGCTCGTGGAAATTGTCAAAGATCACGAATCATCCGAAAGCGTATTATAGTTTCGACTTTGATTTTGACGACGGATATATCTGTTTGTTTATCGAAACTCTGTATCCAAATCCACCAGCAATGACAGATCCAGAAAGATTTATAGGTTAGATTTTTTAAACCCCAATGGTAGCACGAGCATTGGCCACTTGACGCTACAAGTGCTTCGAAGCATTCCTCCTTCTCTTTTCTTTCAATGAAGAAAGAAGGAGAAGAAGAACGCTCTGAAGTATTAACATTTGTACAAAAATATAAAGTAATTTTAGGATGCACTATATAGTTATAATTTATTATAATTAACTGTGTTATATACAATATACAATAATATGAAAAATTTATTCTTGTTTTTTGTTCCTCGTAGCTTTCCACTGCAGCTCATTGCATCTGATCCATCAACGTTTCCTAAATCAACATACGAATGTATAATATGCCTTACGCGCGCTTATCGTTTATTCGAGAAGAGATAGAAATTTCGAAACTCCGCTTTCGCAGGTAGGAGATTAGATCTTGAAAGGGTCATCTGGTCGTATATAGCCGCGATTCTTGATGAAACTCTAGCGCAAAACTCGTCTCATTTGTCAGTCGCCGATTCACGACATCGTGAACGAGATATTAAAAAAAAAAAACGCTTCTTCCTCGCGCCGCATGATGAAATAAATTACTGTTCTCGCGCACGATCATGCATGCTCGTGACACAACTATCATCTTTTCAGTTAGCGGATTAATAACATTAATTATATAGTACGTCGATTGCTACTGCGTACTATATTAGGTATAATTAATATGTTACTGTTAGTTGATTCGTCAAGAGAAACCGCTCCGGCGAATTGGCATGAATTTTAAACAACGAACGAGAACTCGAATGAATATTTCTCCCATTCGCACTGTTCGGGAATCTCATACAAATAGCGAATTATGAACCCTCGAATTACGAATCGCGCATAGTTGATGCTAGCTTTATGAGATATCTTCTCTGTGTGTATATTTGCGTATGCATATGCGAGTGTGCGCGCGCAAACAGGTTTTACGCCTATTAACATTAATTATATATAATTATATATTTTCGACAAATAGAAATTGTTATTACAAATGAAATTGTCATTACAAATGTCATGTCAAATTGTTTTGTTACCAATATTATATTACGTACATTACAAAATATATTATTGGCGCACCGATTTATCATTTATTCTCACGAGGAACCTCGCGAAACTTTTCTTCTTTGATTTTGATATGTTGCGCTTTTAATATGTGTTGTGTTCTAGATCAAAATGTGAGACATATGTATTTATCTCTTAAAAAAATCGGTTTTTTTTTTCAAAACGATAGAAAAATTAAATAAAAGAATGCTAATACGGCTGATTGATTATCCGACTATGAATAAACTTTAAACTGTATTACCGACCGAAATTACGCGCGCTAAAAACAATCTCACGTGATGAAGCGTTTTTAAAGTACACACTTCAAAAACAATGTTTACGTTATAAATCGAGAACGTAAGATCTCAAGACATTGTCTCAAAGACATCGTACGGGCGTCTTTTCGCTAAAATCACAAGCTACGTCTTCGGAATTGTAAGATAACTACAAGACGTGGTAAAGTTCCTTGGAAAAACTGAAACCTCGGCCTTCGGGGCCCACGGGACCCTCGGCCCCGTCGCGTGTCGGCGATCGTTCGCGATCGAGAGGCGTTCAAAAGCGAAACATGCAGATCAAGAGGCGTGAGCGAGGCGCAACGCGGCGCCTTCAAAAGCGAGGAAATTCAGTGAAAGAGCCACTTGTCCAGTGACAGTGCTTTCGAGGTTAGTAGACCGCGCGGGTACTCGCGCCCGCGAGCGCTCGCGCGCGGCTGGTCTCGCCGTAAACCTTAAATCGCTATTTATGACCATCCCAGCGTGTCTTTTTGTGTAGATGCTCGTTCAGCGGCGTAGGCTGTTCCCCCTCGCTAAGGAACAAATGTCGCCGATCTCGTCGCCACCGCTGATGCTCAATTTTCGACAACAACGTCGTCGACAGGACCGCGAAGCTACCTAGACGACGTCGAGTCTTCTCCTCGAATCATCCTGGAAACCCTAAAAGGGATTTTAAAGGGTTCGCGTCTCTTCGCGCGAGATGATACGCGATTAGCAACCTCGAGACGTCCCGGAGAGTTTTCAGAATACTTGAAAGTGCGTTGCTCCCCCTGGACAACGCGAGCGTTCTCTCAAGGTTCTCTCTCCGTTTTCAGGATTAACCGAGTTGGCACCCAGGCTACGTCACTGGCGGGGTCCCCGTGACACAGATCGGCGGCGGCAACTATAACGGTACCCACCGGCGTGACCTACTCTCGACGAAGTCGCGCTCTCTCGGTCCTTCCTCCTTCGTCCTCTTCATTTCGCGTCTCTCCCGCGGACTCTCCTTTCGTCCAGGGCCGAATATCCGGCTGGGCTAATACGCGCGACGCTTGTTCGATCATCGACACAAAGATACACGAGGTTCAAATGACAGTCCCACACCTTGTACGTATCTCTATTTTTGACGGAGAGAAGATTCGTTATCTCTCTATCGTATAGAAAATCAAAATAAAACAGTAGTCGGTATATCTTTAGCTTTAGAGAAATTATCGCCCTATCACCGTGACAAAGTTTAAAAGCTAATCTCGCTCTTCTACTTGCAGTTGTCTAAATGAGACAGCTCTTTTTCGAGCCGCTTCCGCTTCAGGAGATCTCGTCTGAAAACGATCGCAGTCGCATTTATTCCGCGTTCAATCGGGAATCTGGAGAGCCAGGACGGGCAGGACGGACGTGGGCGAGGCGAGACGGTCGGCCGCCACTGCCGCGCGTATAGCATCTTCTCTCCCGTACGCTGGCGGGCTACACACTTTTTCTTCCACGTGAGAAGCATCGTCACGGGTCGCCTCGTCGCATGGGCGGACGGTCGACCGGGCCGCGGCTGATTACGGACAGTAATGAAAGCGGCCTGCTTGCACGCGGTAGGTAGGCAGGTGCGCGCCGCTGTCTGTCATGTAGCCTTCGTCCCGTCGTTTCCGTCGCACACGTTTTCTGCCGCATCCGTCGCATCCTCGCGTCGAGGCCGTCAATGAGACCGACAGCCGCTGGCCGCCGTTATCGTTGTCGTTCTTCGCGCACCCTGAACAGGGTGATTACGCGTGGGGTACGTGCGGGAGCAGTTTTAAACGTTAGTCGGTCGGCTGTTACGGATCCCGCGGGTCCAGCCGCTGGACCAGCGAGAATCAAGAGCCCTCCCGCGAGTTATGAAAGCGATCGCGCCCTTCGTTCTTCAGGTGAGCGCTTGAATGAACGGCGAATATATATATATCCTTGTTTTCTTTCGCGAACGCGAGTGAACGGAGTATCGTACATACAACTTCCTTGTGAGAAACGAATGAATTGGGATAGAAGACGGCAGATATTTATTTTAACCATTACCCAATCTTCGAGAATTTGATTATTCTCTTTCTCTGTTCCTATCTTTAATCTCAATTGTATGCCGTTTAAATTGAAATAATTACTAAATATGGAATACAAAAAAACCGTTTGTTAAAGATATCGATATGGGTGTTTAGTTCTAAGCTTACAAGGGACATATCACAATTGTTCGAAACTGCGATTGATTTTTCTTGAAATATATCGTTAAATAACAGATAAAAATCTATTATAAAAGACTCATAGAAGTAAGAACTTCATAAAAATAGTGATGAGAGTAAGAGTAGTTTGAAGAACAATAAACGAATTGAATTTTCAGGAAAATTAAATATGCAGTTATAAAATACATTTAAAAAACCATAAAACACATATTATGCACATATATATATATATTTTTTAAAATCTAATTATTTTGACAATAATTGTTTAAAATTAAATAGAAGCTTTGAAGGATTATTTTATCCACTTAAACTCCGATTTTTGTGTTTAAGAATTTCGAAGAGAATCAAATCGGTTTCAGACAGTTGTGATATGTTCCTTGTTAGTTACATGCTAAAACACACACATCGGTATCTTTTACAGACAGTTTCGTGTTTCACATGTGGCAATTATTTAGTTATTAAGCAACATATGATCGGGAATGAATATTATATAGATACATTTTCAATGACCGATAATTTTGTAAAAATACATAACTAAGGATAGAAAGAAATAAGATAAAAATTCCATGTTTATTTTAACGTCAACCTCTCATTCAGAAGATTAAATGGTTTTGTTATGAACTCTTGTCGATTTTTTTCATCCTTTTCTCGTTCGTCTCGTTAATTTTTTCGGGAAGTGAAGCGAGTAATGAAAGGTCCCATTATGTCCATTACGTCGTAAAATAATTTATTATTCCGACAATAATTTATTCGTGTGATTGCAGGTGATTGCATTGCAGCTGACGAGATGCCAGAGCGGCGGTGGTGGCGGCGGCGGCGGCGGGCCGAGCACGTTCGGATACGACGCTTCCTCGGCTTGCAGCAAACCGTACTCGCGCGCTGGACGCGCGCACCACGAGGATTTACCCTGTGACTTTCGCCAACAGAACTGGTGCACGATCGCCGGTAGCTCTTATCCTTGGTACTTCGTCTCATTTGCGCTTCGTCTCTTCCGCTCGTAGCGATCGATCTCTCCTCGAGGGACTTTCGCCCGCCCGACACTCGTACGCTCACGCGCGCGCTCGATTTGTCCGCGGCGAAAGTTTTGGCGTCGTCAATCGTCCAAGTAAACGAATCAAAGTGGATCAAAGGCTCCTCGATGTTTGAAATTTTTGGGCGGTGATTAATCTTGAAATCCTTCTCCGTCTCTTCTATCTTTTTTTTTTTTTTAAACGTTTTATATTATCAACGAAATTTCGAGGACGAGCGTGGCCTAGTAGACAGCGCACTGGTCTATTGAGCCAAAGGTCTCGGGTTCGATTCCCGGTAGAGCTAGAAAAATTTATATTAGCTCGTTCTCCTCTCGGAAGGCAATGAAAAACCACCGAGAGTATGTCTTGCCAAAAGAGAACTTCTCTAAAAAATATAGCCGTTCGAAATCGGCGTTAAACTGTAGGTTCCATATACAATGTGTATAATCCACGTGCGCAACACATGTATATGAAGAGAAGTCACCACGCTCGGGCACGAGTAATAGGACTGAGTATATGAGCATTTATATATATTATACTTGTAACATTGTTGCTTCATGTCTTGTGTAATTATATGAAACGCTGTTTCAAATGCCGCCTCGGCGTCCGCTATTGTACGTATTATATTCCATCTGGGACTTATCCTAGTTTTTTGGTCTGACTCGAGAATCTTATGCTGCAGATCTGCAATTTGTGCGTTACGCAGTTCTATGAATTCGGTAATAGTCATAAACTTCTATTTTCATCCGGATCAATTTTTTTTTTATTATTATTATTATTATTATTAACGAAATTTCGCCTTGAATCTAGGCCAGACAATCTTTTTTTTTGTTTCACTTGTCTTTGTAAAAATTAGAATAGATAGAGAAATAAAGCAACGGATTATATATAAGAAAAATCTTACTTTAAACATGAAAAATAACACGAGATATATTCTTGTTGATCTTTTTTAATTCGTTTATTTATTAAAAACTCTAAATGTTGTCATTGTCTCGGTTGAGACTTGAAATAAAACTTATTAGTTTCCACACATTTTTAAAGTTTTTTAAAAGAAGATTTGCGCCGTCTTATCCACTTTGTCACCACAGAGTTATGTTTCTGCTGTTCGTTCGCAGGCATGCGGTACGCCGATTTGTGCAAGAGAATCAGGGGTTGATGAGACGCATGTATGGGGACGAGAATTACATCAGTGTTCTCCGAACGGAATTCGAGAAGAACGATATCGAGCTAAAATACGACGAGTATTATCATCATTTCGCCGACGATCTGAGGTAGCTTTCTCGCAATTCCTTTCGACGATATTTCATTGATAGTCGTTTCTCTCTTTGATTTCAAAATATGACTTTTAACATATCTTAATCTTTTATCGCACAAATGTTTTTTAATTTTGCTGAATCTTAGTATACGGAGGTTTTTGGATTCGTTTATTACAAATTTGAAATCAAAATTTAAAAAATAAAAATGCAGACTTAACGTGGCAGACAAATTTGATTATTTAATAAAATTTTTATACATAAGAATTGCGTGTTGCGATTTTCAGACAATTCCAATATGACGATGATTACGAATTTATCGACGACGATCGGGCAAAGGATAACGAGTATGAAGGTCGCGGATTCACCAGTCGCTCCTTCAACGATCCTATCGCCAAGCGAATGAATAAGTTCTCGAAGCTCAGTGAGTACACCAGGCCGCATTTCAGGCCCACCGAACGGACAACTAGTTCGACCACCCCTTCGAGTACGACGACTACTTCTTCAACTTCGTCTTCGACGTCGACCAGCGCCCCGACTCTCGTTACGCGTGCGTCGTCCTCAACGACGCCCGTGTCTACTTCTACCGTTACGAGCATGGAGGAGGTCAAGACTCAAACCTCCGTAACGTCAACTTCTCCAAAGTTTTCGAACATCACTACCAAGGTTGCTGATAATGATTCCGTGGTGAATAGCACGACAACTACGACGACGACGACAATATCGACATCGACATTGCCGAGCGTTACCGTAGCTCAGATCGTCAAGGAACAAAATTTCAGCATTAACGAGATTCCCGGGCAGAACGATAGGATCGATGAGGAGTTGGAGGAACCAGAACCAGAAGTGGTAGCGTATTCAGAGAAAACGACGATCGAAGACACAACCTTGGAACCAGCTGGAACGACGAGGAGTGTCCCTACGGAATCGCTGGTTGATCAGGAAGAGGAGGAGGAGGAAGAAACGCTTGGCGCTGCTACAAAGACTACGGTACATGAAGAACTAATAATCGCAGCGAGTCATGAGCAACAGCAACAGTTCAGACCACGTCCTGAGTATCGGCCTTCGGGCATGGCTGAGACATCGACAAATACTGGAGGACAGCTTTATCAAGATGCAGCGAAGGATCAGCAGGAGCAGCCGGTGCTGAAGCTTAGAGGAGTGTGAGTATAAATATATATATAATCCGTTCCGTAGTTGTGTAATAAACTGAGTTATTAAATTATTGAAATAAAAAAATAAGAACAGAAAGAATTTTTAATTAAAGCTCCTGGGTACTCGCCACGAGGAATGATGAGAAATGGCACGCAAGAATTCTCAGCGTGTCATTTTTCATCATTTCTCTGACGTTATGATCTAACAGGGCCACAGCGAGTACCTAGGAACCTTAAAGAGATGTAAAAATAAAGAATTATATAAAACTAATAACGTGAAATTTTTAGAAGAAAGGAAAAAAGGAGAAAAAACACATAAAATGCAATATATACAGAGAAGTAAAATGAAAAATATGAGAGGATTCATCGAATCATTTTGCGCAGGAACGCCTGTCCCGTCAAGGAGGAAGTGGTAGCGCCGTTTTGGGCCAATAATACTCGCGGCGAGGTCTTGGCCCTCCTCAATCTGTATCCCTTCGAGCAATATGTCCATTGGGAGAAGTGCACGTAAGTGTCGTTATTCCTGAACAAGAAATATCAATGATGGGTTCGCGATTAAAAAATTAAGAGAAAGAAGGAAACATAAATTAATACCCATAATTTAGTTTGTATCTCTCAGGTTGAGAGGTATTTAAAACAAATATCGAAACGTTTGTGTTAAATACCAGTCTTTTTCGGTGCATTATATTCTTATCTTATTATTCTTTTTTTCTTGAATCTCTAATTCTGTCGCAGACACGAGAACAAGCAAATGTATTGCCGGGATGGATGCAGATGCGAGCAGCAGTATCGGCTGCATCGGCTGTTGGCTTACGACCCCAACAACGAGTGCCGCGGCATTTTCAGCGACTGGTTCAAGTTTCCCAGCTGTTGCGTCTGCCGTTGCTATGATCTGCCATTGGAATTTCGGGTGACGTCGCGTTCGCCGCGCACCTCGCACAAACGACGAATCAAGGTGCAATCGCCAACGCGGAACCGTTACCCGTGATCCAATTGTCTTCTGGCTGGCCGGCCGCCAAATAATACACGCGCGTAAGTTGAGGGCGACCCGCTAGATAAGATCCTCTACGCGAAATTCTAACGAGTGCAGTACAAATCAGTCTTTTAATTAAAGATCCTCTCTTTATTTAATTCAGAGATTTTAGATTTATTGTTGATGTTTGATATCTCTTTTATACATGTTCACAAAAAAAAACACATTTTCTATTTAATATGTTGAAATTATCTATACATATATATAAAGTTACGTAGGCACATATTTATAGTAGAATAGACATGCGTATTTACAAATATTTATAAAGTATATTATGTATATTGTTGAAATTATTTAATTTTTCTTGATAAGTTAACAGAGTTGTTCGTAAACGAAAGAATGTCCCTCCGATGTTGCTTACTTTCCAAGGAAAGTGTGATTAAATTTGATTAATAATTTGTGCTGTTCACATATGGGGATGGCAGATAAAAGATTTTCTTTTAGAAAATTTTCTTTGCCATATCAAACAATTTGTATAGAATTTTGTCAGTCCAACATAATGTTATTTTTAATAAGTGAAATGTACGAGATAACAAACTAGGATAATTTGTTTCTAAATTCTCGTTTAGAGAAATGTATACTACTTAATATACGTATAACGGTTTATATAAATTTAACGATCCGTATTTAATTTTATACTTGATCGTGATGGCGATATAAACTTAAACTCATTAAAACATCGTCGATTTAAGTGGTATAGGTTTTCTTGACATTATTACTACATACTTAGGACAATAACGAATAGAGGAATGCGTAAATTAAAGGGGGACAAATACCGGTGCTGCGGCGATCCAAACGCCTATTTATTTAAAATTTAAAACGCTGTAACTTTATTTTTTCAAATTTTGACTTGCAACTTGAGGAAAATATTCTTAAGATATCACACTATAAGAAAAAGCAAAAATTAAAAAATCGATTCTTTGACCTGCCTGGGTGTATGCCCCCCTTTAAAATAATTTAAGAAATAATGAAATTGTCACATATTTCTTACTAGTGTTACACTAATCGATATATTTTTTCGAGAGATTTTAAGAGATTATGTATATGTATTGCGCGTACCAGCAAATATAACTTCATCATACAATATCATGCAATATATACTGTTGTAATAGGTGTTACAAGCATTACGATATATGTATTTGAACAAAAAAAAAAATATATATATATATATTATATATACTCGACATAATTGCAAACAGGTAAAGGCTCGTGAATAAAATATACGCCATTTTTATAACTGCTAATACTCTGTTTCTATTTCCGTACTCATTATTTGCACCAGATATATTCTCAATAATTCAGTCAGTTAATGACTAACAGAATTCGTCGGGTTCGCAACAAAAAAAAATAACACATTGTTTCATTATATTCGACTTTATTTTCCTCGCTCTCTTTACATGTCTCCGACAATATTGTACGTTCTTACAAGGAAGAAGATTCACAAACAGCAACGGTCCTTAAAACGTTAATACTTCTGTTATTTTTTTTCCTGTTTTGTTTTGGGCGTTTGCGTAGCGCTGAATGTAACTCAACAATAATACCGATTATTTTGTCATACATTCATTACACGGTATTACAAACGTTATACTTTTCATATCCCGTCGTAATATGTATGTACATATTATATATAATACATATACAGGATGTGTGAGTGTGTATGTGTGTGTTTCGGATCCGATCAATACGCGACCCTCTGTATGTCTACGCATATTCGCGAATATACGCGTTTACGTATATATGCATTTATGTAATAACGTTACATACGCAGAAATGTAAGTATATTTATTAATACCAGCTAAAACATATTTGGTATCAAAACCATTGCAGGAAGAAGAAAATAAAACGTCTCCGAAAAATGTCTCGTACTTTGCTCGTTGGAGCCTGCTCGTTAGAATTTAACGGTATCATCTTAATTACTGTTACGCACTGTCGCGCATAATTAAAAGAAAGCGATTCAACCCCCTACATTCGTATGCAAATCGACGAGAAAAAAAAAATAAAACGATTGGCGATCGAATTTGCAATAAAAATTGCTCTTTTTACATGTATATTATAAACTAGATTTGTAAAGATATTTGAAACTATTTCAATAAATTCTGATCTTCACGAACGAAGAGGGCAGATTCACTTTCTTTTTTTGTTCTTACAGATATGGAAGAGTGGAAGAGGAGCAAAGAGGAAGACGCGATTCTACATACTCTAATAACGGAAAAGACGTTTCATTTTCGGAGCGTAAGAATTGTTCGGGACAGATTGCGATATCCCGAGCACGTCCAATTCACTGTTGCACCGGCGAAATAGTTTACTTTTAACCAGATTGTCTACCCTACTTTCGTTCCGTCGTGAGAGTCTCAACGCCGCTTTCCGGCTGTGTATGTATACCCAATTCGTATAAAAAATATCTCTATTTCTTGGCACAATCGCAATCTTCGCTAACGCTTGTTACATCGTGACGCATATCATTGCACTTTGTCGATGAGCTCTAAATTGCCTACTTGTCTTACCGAGCTGCCTATTATCCGACGCTTTTTTCCCCTTATCCGCTAAGCTAGCGGTGAAGTATGTAACTGCATCACACATGTATATCAACCTCCGCGTATAAATAGAAATATCTCCTTGTCCGGATTTTTTTCCCAAAGTCATACGTGCAATAAAGGCTTTCAGAAATATATCGTTTGATCAGCAATGTATATATATTATGCACTGTCAATTTTGAAAAATCTAATATCATTGACCGTACAATAAGAAAATAAAATTGAAAGCAATATTGAGAGAAGTATGACCGTCGTGCAAATCAATTTAGAAGAGACCATTTACAGTCCGAGCTGAATCACGGTAGCCTAATAAGAATGTTTGCCAATTGATGCTCAAGAATCAAATGGGATACATACTAGACGAATCTTTTCGCACTCGCGATAATGCTGAATGGAAATACCGCACTTACACACTTGAATAAAATTTAACTTATATTGTGTTAGCTGTATTTTTATTGGATAGGTTTTACCGTTGTTTTATCCATCAATACTAATTTAAGTCCATTTGTCGTATACATAGACACTTGAGACACTTGTAAAATAAAACGCTCGTGCGATACGAGATGTGTAAGATGTTGCATGATGAAAATTACGAGATCGCTTACCAAGGAATTGAAAAGTGGTATAAACGGGAACGTTATTAGGCTACCAAAATCCAGTGGCGTTCTCTTCTAAATTGATTTGTAAAATTGAAAAATTTTGATATAAAATATATATAAAGATGCCTTTAGCTGTATTACGCACTTACAGCGACAATTTTTATGAGAAAATTATAATTAATATTCGAAGTATAATAAACATGTATATTAATACATTTGTAAATTTTTTAAAATATTCTGGTTTTTCACTCTGGTTTGCCACTCTAAATGTATTATTTATCGTTGAAAAGAATTAGTTTTTTCAAGATCAACGATACAAATGCTCGTAATTCACTTTCGGAAATATGATCTTTTAAATTTTAGCACTCATTATCATGTGAAAAAGCGAAATTTCTTACATTCTTATAATATCGAATTATAATGTACAACTTGAGTTTAAGTCAATTTGTGGTATCAAGTTTTTGCAATTGCGAGTAAACCGTGCCGTTAACTATATACTATACGCCTGAGAAATACGCAGTGTATAGATCATCGAATAACAATTTGTTGTAAATATTAGCAGGAACGATGAGAGCCCGTCGTAACTCGACGATATGAGCAGTCGTTCGAAAATTTCATTACGCAAGATTCCGTCTATATTTATATAATAAGTTTGGCAAAAAATGCGACGTCTCGTCACCGAGATCCTTCATGGCAGCGTTTCTTACTTTTATTGCTATTAGCGTGTCTCGAATTTACCGATCACTGTGTTTGTTCAATCGCCAATAACGCGAGTCTGCGATACGACGATGTGCTTTACGTAGAGCGAACCGCGCTTTTCCCGTCTTATGTATCAGATTAATTGGAGCGGAATACTTTTGCAAAAAAAAAAGTACACTGCGCAACTAATCGACCGTACTCCGTTCTTTTCATAACCCACGATAACATTAAGAGATTAACGTATATGCACGCGAAGAGAAGCTAGACTTGACTTTCTTCTGTTTACAAAAGAGACGAAACGCGACGAAACGAACTGAAATCGTCGCAGGAAAACGTTGCAAAAATTCGGATATTTTAGACTTAGACGTTTCCTTTTACGGGATCTTCGTCGATTCTCGAGTTGGTCGCAATTTTTTTTTCTTTAACGATCTCTACCTCGAATTCGCGTCGGCGTTTCTTCTTCGCACGCAGCTAGAAAGGCATTTCAGTATCGTCTCTTATTACTTTCGCCTGCAAAAGTAATGATATATCTATATAATTACAGTATATCCTCTTCTTAACTATACGCGAGTGTCCTCGTGTCGTCGGTTCACGATTTATTTCTACGTTCAAAGACAAGCTATATGTACGTCGACGTGAGAAATGAACGCACCCTGCATATCCGATTAATAAATCGAGTTAGTGTAATCGCGAAACTCTTCGTATAAACGGGGAACAACTTCGTATAAGAATTACGAGGATGCTTAATACGTGTCTTCGGATTATGCATTGATTAATATCACACTTTAAACTACGGACAAGTATCTTTCGCTTAGCCTAAAGAAACCCGTTAACACCGGCAAAACGATACATCGCTTTCGTGTCAAAACTATAACACGTATATATATCTCTACGTTCTTCGAATATACAAAATACTGATCGAGAAATAATACTATTGAACAACATTCCTTCGTGTCCTCAAAACAGTTTTACGCCTATCAGAACTTCATCGCAATTAAATAAGAGCATTTACTTGGGCGAATGAACTTTTGAGAAAAATATCAATTACAATAGTGGATTATGAGTAAAAGTTTTACAGTTTTAAAATATTTAAAGACGTAAAAGTCTGCGATATCCAAGAGATATCATTGAGATACTTGAATACTTCTTTTTGTGTGCAGTGTGTCCATACACCTCAAGACACAGGGCAAAGAAAAAAGAAAGTTACGTGCATCGTTTTGCTCGGGTTCACGGTCACATGTGCATACAAAGTCAATATAAACCAACTAGGATAGTTAGATTAATACGGCGAGGAGACGGTTGACGCTCCAAGAACGGCGACAGACAAGAACTGATTATTATTTTTCGTGTACCGGACGATTAGTGCAATCGAGACAGGTGGCACATGCAAGTTGTTCGTCATAGAAAACAGCGGAGAATACTAATGGGGACCAGTCGTGATCCGCGTGCTGATAATCCGCGCGATCATCGCTCTTGTTGGCGGACAAGAAAATCTCGACTTTATGAAGTAACTTGGAACACACGCAACGATTCTTACTACTTTGAACTATGGAATAATTGGTTCTGTAAGGCTCGAGAGATTTCATTAAGCGAGACGCGAGAGACTCTATTTAACTCGATCAGTCTCGAGTCATTGCAATTTAATGGTACATTTGCTTCGATCAAGCTGGATTCGACTTGTCCCCACAAATCGCTGATCCTTTTACATCTTCGCGCATACATTAAGTTAACTGTTGCGTCAGAACCACGTGCTTACGATGAAAAATATTGAGAGTGCGTTGTTATACACTTGTATATAACGTTACATGTCTATATAAGTATTGCTCAAAATATGTATTTTATATTGTATATATATTATATATGTAAAAGGATTGTTAAGTTGATATGTCATCGAAGTAATATACTATGTGTATCACAGTGCTGTGATTGAGAGAGTAATTGCAACGGCTTTAAATTTCCCCCCCTTTGTTCTTTCTCTCCTCGTTCTCCGCCTTTGTTTTCGCTTTCCGAACCGTCGGGTTTACCTATTGAAATTTTGTTTTCGCCATACGACAAACATCGTTCGGAACAGTCCGTTGGAAGGAGAGCAATGGGTCCGAGGATTCGAACCCTCGATTTAAAACAAGTTTCACTCGTGTACGTACACACGTGTCTGTTACATATTTTTCTCGTACTCGTAAGAAAAAGTATCTCTCCTCTAGAAAACTATTTCGCTAGAAATTGTTCGTCAAGTTTTTCGCGTTGTCCGTTTTCCTTGAAAAAGCTTCCGTATGAACTACGATTCGTTTTCTCACATTTTTGTATCGTTTTGAAGACACCAATCAATGTTTTTGGTCCCTATGTGTTACATTTAAATACAAGCGCAAATCCTATCGGCGCGCGCGAAATATTTGAGAAAACATTGGGCCTGTTTTCTATTGCTGAACTGACCCGCGCCAGTTCAGAGCTTATCTTTTTCCTTCCAATGTGGAGTACAAAACAAAAACAGACCCATTAATCGCGCAGGGTGAACTCTCCCCCGAATATATCAAAAAGTATATCTATCGCTCTCTGCGTATTAAACGTGCCGCGCTATTTACCGGAGTACGAATAAGTTTAATCACAATCCTTAGGAATTAGCGTTAGTAATCCTTTAGTTTTTGGTCTCGCTTCTAACTTACATCTAGATATTGTCTCGTTGAAAACAAAATTTCGCATGAAACCAAGCTCGTTTTTGCATTTTCTCCGTAATTTCCTTCGTTCTCACTCTTTTCTACGTGGTACGCGATGCGATACCTCTAAATCGTCGACTTGTTCGCATATAGATGATTATTTATTCGTATTATCACAAGTACCGAACTGCATTTAATTGCATCGTAAGATGATTCGTGATGAAAAAGCTGATTTCTTGTAATCTCGAAGGTATTTCGAGCAAAGAAGAAAATGTTTCTTCCTCTCTTTCCTTGTCATATCATGTATAAATACGGATATTTATAAATACATTTCTGTATCCTCATTTACTGCATTAAAAAAAAAATCACGTCCAAATTATTATCCCCAAAGCGCGTCTATCAAATTACGAAGAAATCAAGATTCAGGTACAGATACAATTAACTCATATATGTACTAAACGATCGTAAAATTAATTACAACGATTTAAAAGGTATCCCTTAAATCAAATATATCTTTCGGTACTGTAGAAAAATCGTATTTACAAATAATATTATTAGAACGTACAAAGATACGTGTATCCGTTTTCGGATACTTGCGGATCTTTCGCGATCCACGATGCACTTTTAAAAATACTCGCGTGTTTAACTCGAATTCGTGTAACCGCATCGTATGAAACGCCTATATATAAGCTCGTGTAAGAATAGCTCGCTTAAAAATAGAAATGGTATAAATCCGCAAAAATGCCGATCTTTAGACGACAAGAAAGTCAATCGTGCGTATCGTTTACGATTAAATCGCGAGTGTTTAGTTTCGATCTCATCGACTACGTTTGGCTGATGGTATATACTATAGTTCGATAAAAGTATTTACAATTCGGTAAAAACGGAGTATTGCTCGCGTCAATTCCATCTTTCTCTGTCGACATTTTCTTCTCTAGTCAATTCCCTAACTTAATTCCTTAACCCCTCAAACCCGTTTAACACACAATATGTGCGCGATAAAATGTTTCGATAATTACACAGTTAAAGAGATAAAATAATACATGAAGCTTGAATCATACAAACTAGAAGAATTAGTAAATATATAAACTTGCGCAAATAAATTATATACAAGTAGCCTTCTTTTTCTTTTATATATATATATATATAATATTATATGTATAATATTACATCATATATATATAATGTAATATTAATATTTTTCTATACATAATTTCGCTACTTAAAATAATCGACTTTTCATCAATGTGTACATCCATTTGGTCTGAGGGGTTAATTAACAATGTGATAGCCGCCAAAACGACCATAACTTATTTTCTAATCAACAATCCACCAAATTTGTAATGGGCCATAATACGACGAGTGTTTTTCTTCTTTTTTTTTTATAACGATCCATTTATGGTCTCGTACGAATTATTGGTTTCATTAACTTTAGCCGCATTTCCCGTTGCATTGCTTGATCGGAGATCGAAGCAAATTGACTATTGAACATGATCGTCTGCTATTCTCGTTTGCTATTCTCAGACAATTAATAATGAGCAAGTAGATACTTGAAAAGGCAAGCACCAATTTCACAATATTTCATCAATATCTTACTTGTAATATTTGTCAAGATAGTCAATTCCAAAAAAGTACTCGAGAGAGAGATAATTCTCTAAAATAAATTTAGTTTATAGCTTCCACAGGTTTAGATTTCTATAGATTAGTCAATAGATTTAGTGATCACAGATGAGCTATATATTGACACTGACATTGATACTGATGCGGATAAATGCAAAAAGAACTTCATATAACTAAAAGTCAGTAAAATAATTCAGTTTTCAGAATAATAACTGAAAGAAACGCGACGAAAACTGAAATACTTGTATGTACCTGTTTTACTGCGATAATTCAACGAGTTAAATGCGCTAAAACAAAATGGTTCACAAGAATTCGTCTTATCACAACCAAATTGAGCGATATTCTTCGTTAAGCAGAAACATCCGTGGAGGGTGTCGTATCCTCCTTCCGAAATCAAGAGACCATAAATAAATAAAAAAACTGATTTTGCACAGCGATTTTCGCATATGCGTACACGACGTAAGGGCCCCCGTGGTGGAATTTAGATTGATTTCCACTGCGGCTTGTGGGGACCCCCCCTTTTGTGTCAGGGACCCCCTCTAGGAATCCACAGCGCTTTGCTTTGTTCCTCATCTACCGAGGCTTTCACCTGCGTGCATATATATGCCACATTCACGCCCGCCGGAATCACGGCTGAAATATTGTTAATACGTACATTGCTACATTGTAACATTAGAATAAGCATAATTTATAAAGCTTTTAATTTTTTTTAAATTTTAATTTTTCTTAATTTTCACTGCAACAAATTGACAATTCATTCGAAAATAAAATAAGAAAAACGAAAATATTAAGAATAATTGACCGTGAAAGATGTCAAGCTAATTTGCTGTAGTATGCATCATTAAAATAACAGGCCGTATATAAACTTTATATTTCTTACATATGCGAATGAAATTGGAAACACAGTTTGCTTACCGGAGATGTAATGCTTGTATTCCGCTTCTATCTTGAGCGCCTGTTCAAACATTTCTTTCGCAGCCTTTGTACTGATTTTGTCGCTCGGATATCTGGAATCCTTTACCTCCTTAATTTGCGTTCTATCCTTGAATTTGATTAATAGGACGATAGGGTAAATTTGATGTCTGTGAAGCCTCTCGATGGAAGCCATCGACACGTCCAAAATACAGTGCGTATTCTACAATGGATACAATATAAATAAATATCGATATATTTCATTAAGCAATACCAGCTACTTTTTGTTATTATCATCCGATATAACAAATAGCGATATTACCAAAAGTGATTCTTGCTTGTCACATTATTGATCGTTATCCAATGATGCTTATTTACCTTCTCACATATCTCTTTAACGGCCTGCACTGTCGTGCATTCGAAGTAGCTGCCTTTTTTCCTATAATCTATGTAGAGCGCGTCGCGTAATCCTTGCTCCAAAGTCGACTGCGAACAATGCATCGCCTCTGCCAGACATCTGGTGAACTGTCCCGGGTATTCCTGCAAAAGTCTCGTTACCACGCATTCGCTGAGCGGACCGATGATCAGCACGGGCCTCAGAGTGGGATCTGTTATTAAAGATAAACAAAACTATCGTTACTATTTACTAAACTTACAACCAGAATATAAAAAGGCTTATTTTAAATGACCTATTGAGCTATCGCTTTAAAATATTAAGAATTGTAGGTAGCAATACGTACAATCGAGTCTTTCGACGCGCTGATAACTCGCCGGAAGAGTATCTTCGTTCAACGATCCACTGTCGCTGTACCATCCCAAATTGTGTCCCGTGGAAAGATGCGATATTTCCTTGGTACTGTCTCTACTGCTGGATGACCGTGGCTGCTGTTTTTTCCGACGGAAGAAACTTCTCCTCGCTCTGGTATCGCTGCGTTTGCCAGTGTCTTGTTCCAAATCGCCTAGCGACCGTCGTAAGAGCAATTCTTCCTCAACCCTAGAGACAAGTCACGTATATCATAATTTAAATAATTTCGATATCGTTGTCAATCGTATTTTCTCCGTTTTAGATATTCCATTATCATTCATCGCAAATGTAACTTACTTAAATTTGCTGGGAATTATCCCGCAAGTCTGCCTACGACCGGTCTGATCGACTATCCAGGCGCGCCAGTGTCCCGGCGTGCCATTGAACATGGTATTGTCCACGTACAAGATGTCGTCCTTACTAAATCGCAGCTGTAGGCTATCGCCCACTTCGCCGGTTCGATCAAATAGCGCCTTCACGTAAAAACTGTCGCCCGGCTTGTCCTTCACCTCGTTATACCGCTCCGGCATGTACTGAGCGACTAGCGTCACCTTGTCCGCTGGTCGAGCCAGCTCAAGCGCCGCTTGCTCGGCGGTCGCCTGCCTCAAATCCACGCCGTTGTACTCCAGGATCCTATCGCCGGCGAACAGGCCGGCCTCCTCGGCGAGACAGCCCGGCTGAACGGAATGCACGAAGATACCGACGCCGTTCCCGCCTACCAGCGATATACCGAGATTCGAGCACTTTCTAGTCTCAATCAGCAGATACCGCGGCTCGCCACTCGGCGGCGGCTTCCGATTCTGGTCCTCCTGCGTGGGGCTCCTCATCGCGTTTTGCCGTTGCATCTGTGCACGATTCAACCGATCCAGGGTGGCGGCGCTGCGAAGCTCCGGTTTGCGGATGTTGAATGACGCGTTGTCCAACGACGCGGAGGGCCTCATCTCGCGTTCTCGCTCCTGCGTGCTTCTCACCTCCAACGAGGCAGACGGCCGCATGTGCTCGACGCGCAGCGTGCTCATGGTGGGCGCGGCGGTAGTGGTGACGGTGGGAGCGGTGGTGGCGATGGTGATGGTGGCGTCGCGTTCCGGCTCGACAGGCTCCAACGTCTCCACGGTGCTCTTTCTCGGTGCTTCCGGACTGTTGCACGGTGTCGGCGAGCCGCTGCGACTCCCGGTTGCGGCTCCGTCGCCGGCTTCCGACGAACTCGAGGACCCCGAGCCTTCTAACTCGGTGTATTCTTGCAAAGAAAAATGTAAAGTCCTATTTAAAAACTTACCCCAACAACGTCAATGCTAAAAGAGTAAAAATATCCTGAAAAATTACAATGAAACATTGTTCAGATTTTTTTTGTAGTATCTACCAATGAGGAAGAATTGAGGAGAAGAGAGAGAGAGAGAGACGGAGAATGGACGCACGAGTCATGCCTTTTCAAGAGAACATGCTACAGATTCCAAAAGTGCACTTTTTGAAGGATCGCATTATTTTCTCTGTGCAAAAAAACTACTCACTGTCCGGGCTATACTGCACCAGCATTGTAATCGAGTTACCACACTGACGTAGAACATTGGCGGCCAGCTGGTAGGTCGCGCTCCGCATATTTATACCGCAAACCTCCAACAATTGGTCACCGATCTGTAGGCCGACTTGCGACGCCAGGCTGTGCTCGTACACGGTAGAGACGAACACGCCGCCACTCTCCAGGCAGGAGATCTGGATTCCCAGCGGCTCCACGGACTTGTCTATGTGGACTCTCCGCAGTTCTCCGGGCGCCGGGCGTGGCTGCGAGTAACAGTAATCCGGCATACTGGCGCGTTTGTTGCCGCTACCGCTTCCTCTGACGGTGCCGCCACTGCTGCCGATTCCGCTGGTGCTGCCGGTGCCCGGACTCAACACCTCCACGTGAAACGTCGGCATCGGGCTGCCACGCTCGGAGGTTCTCTCTATGCTGCCGGTGGACAACTTGCCAACGCTACTTTTGGACGTGACGCTGGTGTTGGACGGTATACGGATGCGCTGGTCCTCCTTTCTGCCCGGCAATGTGCCACCTTCGTATCCGTGCCCGTAGATAGACGTGTCGCAGGGTATACCGAGCGGGAGTGCACGTGGCTTGTGATAGTGCAGATCTACGGAGGGCGTGTGCAGGTGGCCGTAAGTGGTCGGGGTCGTCTGCGAAGGTCCGGGGCTGTACGGGGGCTCGAAACAGTAGGTACGCGCGTCCGGCAGGCCTATGGACTCGCCCGATTGCGCGGGCGACGGCATCGTCGGTGGCGAGGGATAGCGCGAGGGCAGGGAGTTCTGGTGCTGAGTGATGGGATGCGGATGCAAATGATGCAGGTGCGACGACGCGGCGTACGGATGATGCGAGGGAAACGGAAAGTTACCGGGTGCCAATTGCTGTCGCGACGTCGGCCCGCTGGTGGTCGACGCGGCGGACGTGGACGAGCCACCGATGCCCGACGAGTAGAGCTGCGAGTGTACGCGATTGTGCTGCAGCGTGTCCGTGGTCACCTGCGTATCGCTACTGCTGCCGGTCGTGTACTTTTGCGGCCGTTTGTTCACGAAGTACGAGTCGACGTCGCGGCCGGCACCGCCGGACTTGACCGAGAAGTCGATGCTAGTCTCGGACGGCGCCAGCGCAGACCCAAGTCGCCCGGTCTCCGACGCGCTGCTCTCGAACTCCGTCGACGGCGGCTTTTTGCTGCCGCCGTCGATCGGGATGTCCTTGAACTGCACCGCCGGCGTGAACGACGGCTTCTGGCTAAAGAGCTGCCCGGTCTTGGTGAAGCTCGGTAGCGGGGTCTCCACTGCTTTGTAAACGGTATGACGATTATTGACATTGGAAAAGTTGGTCAGAGGGATGGGGTTGGAGATACGATTGTAATTATAGTTATCGTATTTCGGTGGATGCAGGAGTACACTGAGGGGGAAACGTTCTTTCGATTTTCGCGAGTGCAATATAGTACCGGTCCCATTTTGTATGAGGGGTCCGCCGCGCGCCTTCGGCCACGTGCCGCCGTTCTTCTCGACCTTCTCGGTGCCGCGGCGCTTGCTGCGCTTCAACACGCCGTTGTTGCTGTTGCTCGCTTTCTTGTGGTAGCTGTCGATCACCGAATCTAGCTCCGCTATCGCGTCCTGCTCCTGCTCGAACGTGTTCGGACTAGAGTTGCGGTGACCCTTCTTCTTGCTCTCGTCGCGTTCCTTGCTGTGTTTGCGACCACGCACTATGTCGATCTTCTCCCGGAAGTTGTCCCAAGCGTTGCTGATCCCGCTCGCTTTCTCGCCGCTCACCGATTTCGCAGCCTTGTAGACGTTGCGGTCGGCGTAATTCGTCGATAAATATCGTCTCTCGTAATCGTCCGACGAGGCTTTCAGCATCATTCGCTCTTGCTCGGTTTGCGAGCAGCTGTTCACCATCTTTTGTTTCTCCGCGACGAAACTTCCGTCTATCGTCACCGTTTCCGAACTGGCGGCGGATGGTACCGGAATACCTTTCAACGTTGTGATCGTCAGTACGTCTACGGTATCATCGTTCAGAATGGCCATCGCTTCATGCGCTGTAGTTATTGTATCCATGGGTTTACTATTAATCTGAAAATTGAATATAAAAAATTGAAGACATGGACATATACTATAGTCTATTTTTTAGCTGACAAATAAAAAGAACTGAATTTATGGGTACAATACCTTTTGTATATATTACAAATATTTATTAATCTACAAATTAGAAGTATAGACATGATGAATTGCTTCGTGTAACTTACGTTTAATACTCTGTCTCCCACGGCAAGGTTCCCATCCTTGGCAGCCAAGCTGCCGGGCGATATTTTCGAGATGTAGATTCCAAGTTCTAGCGTGATACCGTGTGGCACTGTGCCGACCGACAGCTGCGTAGTTCTCAATGATCGTCTGGTTATCCGACGCCGCTTCACGATCAGCGTCGCCGGATTCACGGTGGACGAGCGCAGAGTCTCTAAGATCACGCGGGTCGACACGGACGTACAGTCGACGTTGTTCACTCGCACAATGCAATCGTTCACCCGTAGCTTGCCGTCGAGGGCGCTACCCTGTGTCACCTGCGCAACGTAGACGCCGGTGTCGTTCGGATAGTACGGACTGTCGCGGCCGCCGACGAGAATCAGTCCCAAGTCGCCGCGATCCGAATCCAAGCAGATTCTGCCGGGTTCGACGTGAATCGGAATCATCTCCCAGTCGTTGCTCTCGTCAATCTGCGCCAGCTGACTGGTTCGCAACGCATGGTCGCCGAACTCGATCTTCTCCTTCAGATCCTTCAGCTCCTTGGACGCCTCGTTTCGTTGCTTCTTGATGTCGTCGGAGTCGCGCAGAGCGCCGGCTAACTCGGAAACCGCGCGATCACGTTCCTTCCGTAATCTGTCGCACAGAGTTCTTATGCTTTCTCGCTCCAGCACTATCTTGTCGCGCTCGCTGAAGGCCCAGTCTCGCCTCCTCTTCGACACCTCGGCCTCTTGAATGGCCTCCTCGAGCTCCCCCTGAAGCGTATCCACGGATTTCCTGAGTTTATCCAACTCCAAATTAGCCTGTTCCAAGTTATCCATGCGCTGCTTGTCTCGCGTCGCGTAATCTCTCGTGTTGGTCTCCTTCTCGGCCTCCTTGCTGACGCTGTCGCGTTCGTGACTGAGCGAGTTCAGTTCCAGACGATGCTTATGGTCTCGGCTGGAACCTTCGGAGTAATCGCCGAATTTCTGCCGTAACTCGTTACACACTTTCAGAGCCTCGTCTCTGTCTTGCAATGCGGAAGAGATCTCCCTCTTCAGTGTCTCAATTTGATAAGACAATGTTTTCTTCTGCAAATAAAGGGCGTCGATGTAACAGATTGTATGTCAGCAATATATCATTCATTTCGATAAAACGGTACAAATAAACATCGACAGTTTTAAATTTCTTTAGCAGTTCATGAAAATAAGATTCGTTAACTTTGGAAAATAAACTCGTGTGATACTCGCGATAGTTATAACCGTTCTCTTTAATCTTGACACTTTCCTTTTAGTACTAGGCTAGGTACGTTAAGCGCAACTTATATATAGGTATCGACAGCGACAGGCTCGGCTGGTATACTCGACAAAAGCATACTGATAATCGCAAATTGACAGTTTCCAACTTAGTTGTACAATAATTTGTTTCAAGTCCTCGTTTCGCAACCGTCCGTGACACGATATCGATATCAACTAAACGTTTCAACATCGGAATGACATCAGAAGAGCGTGTCACTGTCAATACCATTGAAATGTCGTGGTACGAGTTATTACGATTAAGGGCAAGATCGGAAAAACAAGAAATACAGTACCACTAAGGAAGAGTATAAAAATAACACTATTATTCATCGTCCTCGATTATTCGTTTCATTACCTCGTCGAGGAGCTGCTTGTTCTGCGTTTCCAGATGCGTGTTTTTCGTGTACGCTTGCGTGAGGTCATCGCCCAGCTTCTCGATCTCCTTGTGCACCGTGTCACGTTCTCCCATGATTAAGCTGTATTCCTGCAGGGCGGCGTTTCGTTCCTCGGTGAGACGTTTCATATCCTTGCTGGCCTTCATGCGCAGCATCATCGCCTGGTTGATCTCCTTGACCGCCTCCTCGTGCTGCTGCTGCACTTTGGCGAGCGCCTCGCGATACTCGTTCCTCTCCCTCAGCGCGATGTCCCACTGACGAATTGCGGCGGTGCACTGCTGCTTGAGACCGTTGCGCTCGCGAAGGGCGCTGTTACGTTCCTCGAGAACGGTGTCGTATTGCTTCTTCAGCCTCTTGGCTTCCTCTTGCGATAGCTCTAGCTGTATCGATCACACAGTGCGCAATTTTGTATTGTAATTTTCAATGCGCAGAAAAATATGCGCGCGACCGATATACGTCGCGTTACAAGAATAACGCTTATCGATATATACTTGCCTTATTGACGGCGGATGAATGAGACGCTATCAAATCGTCGTATCGTTTCCTGAGGGAATCGTATTCGTCCTTAACGGCTTCGTACTTTCGTAACGCGGAGAGATAGTGCTGATTCATGGCATCGTTGCCCGTGGCATCGGCGACGAGAACCTCCTGGTTCTGCATGCGCTGCAATTCCGAGAGTTCCTTCTGGAGGGCCTGGACCTCCCGGTCCAATCGTTGCTTGTCGTTCGCCAGATCGCCATATTTCGCTCGTAAGGAGGAGCTCTCTTGCGATGTGGCCTCCAGTTGATTCATGACTGCTATGTGTTGCCCCCGATAGTACTCCAATTCTTTCATAGTAATCTCACACCTGTTTTTTAGTAGAGTGTTCTTTTTACTTTGCAGATGACTTAAAATTAGCCTGAAAGTCAAGTTTTAAGCGTGATGTAGAAAAAAAATGCGTGAGGTGTGAGTATGTACACGATTGAAAACACGATTGAAATAAAAGAGGAAAGTGACGAGGGACGGGAAAACGCCGAGTGGAAGGGAGGGCGGCGAATAGCAAGACCAAGGTAAAAAAAACGAAATCAAAACAAACCGTCTTATGGTATCGGAGTGCTTATGCCTAAGTAGCTGAAGCTGATGCATCGCTTGATCACACTGAGCCTGCAAACCGTCGTAGTCGCTACGACATTCGGGGCCACCGACTGGGCTTCCAACACTGCCATAGCTTCCACTATCCCCCTCTGGTTTTATGCGACAAGTGTCAATTCCAACGGCAAACACATCAGAAAAATAATCGATGTAATCCAACATAAAGTGTAAACGGTAACGTGCGTGTGTGAAAATGAGGACGCGTTTGACTTTTACGTAACTTGCGACAAGGTATACAAATTGAATGTGGGAAACGTTTGGTGAAAAATAAAATTGTATGTTGCTCATACTACTCCCCCGGTGCGTGTACAACCTTGATTCAATCCTTCTCAACCAGTACCACAAAGATAACAAATGCAACGAGAGGTATCACATAGAAAAATCTGTTGGAAATATGACGTACGACGTACATGGACGGGTCTATATGTGCACATGTATTTTTGTAACGCTCGTTTAAAAATATCTCTTACCCATGTTGAGTGCACCATCTGGAAAAATTAATTATAAACACCTGTATTACTTCAAGACGTACGTACACTAATCGTGCATAGAGAGGAAGAGGGGGCGCGAACGAAGAGACGGAGAGAAGGCGCGAAGAGGCAAAACGAAGTAAAAAATTACGAAAATCGTCCGAACAGCGTGTAAAAATTTCACGATAAAATTTAAAAAGTCCGATACGCTTGTTACAGTAGAGGGAACAACATAATCGGAGGTCTCGCTAGCTTTCACCGGGAAAGAAACTCTAGGTCACGCATGTAAGCATAGAGTGATTCATTGTTTTCCTCGGCCAACAAACTTATCGGCGATATTTCACTTATTACAAATAATACGATACGATATCTATTTTGTGCCTTCTTTTAAATCCATATACGTCCGGCGTTTCATCATCTGTCGAGAAACGAACGCTATACTTTCTCGGAGGAACGTAAAAATAATTCTTTATCTTTTTTTTTTCGAAAGTAAACAAGAATCGCGATCGCATCCTGAATACAATACATCTAGTACCGGGCGCCGAAACTAACGTTTCGAGAGGTAGCAATTAATGTCTAAAAGACATTAGAGAAAAGACAAGATTTCTGGCATCTTAAAGACATCTTTATGATGTCTTTTAGACATTAATGCTACCTGGGCCTACATCTCGTCCCAGGGAGAGACTCGTCGAGCGCCGCGCGCCCGCCGGGGCGTTTAATTCTCCGATAAAAATATTTCTGCGGCGGCGGGCGGCGGCGATGCCGAGGACGACGACGCGTCGTCCTGACGTCTCGCAATTAAAAATACAATGACACGCTGACGTTAGACATTATCGAGCGAAGCCTCAGAGAGCGTGGCTGGTTCTCGCCGCGGAGAAAGAAGTTGAGAATAAAAACTGTCACTCACCGCTACTCCCAGCGCTGTCCAAGGAGGATGCACCAGAAGCCATGCTACTCGGCGGTGGGCCCCAGGGCGCCGCGAGGAGAAAGAAAGAGAGATGGAGCGAGACAGAGCGGGTGTTTACGTATGTGTGTGCGCGCGTGTGGATTCGCCGTCTCTACCAACACAGGCGGCCGTCCTCGTACGCCAGCGTACGCAGCGCGGTCCGAAGCGGCAGGTATCGCCTGTGGAAAAGCGTGCCGTGTACATTACCCGTATACTTCACGGAAGAGCGAGCCCTTTGTAAAATTACTAAGAAGCAGCCTTCGGGATGACATTATGGCCACTGTACACGAGCCTCGCGCATGTATGTGTGCATACGTGTGTATATACGTCACGCCGCGCCGTGTCACGCTGCACACCGGCGTGTATATCGGGGCCGCGTATATTATCGGGGAAAAAATACCACTACCCAGAGAGAAGATAGATATTGCACCTGACGATGCGCGCGCGCCCGCGCGCGGACAAGCACACACACATACATACGTGCACGTGCACGTAAAAACGTTACTCCGATCTCGCGCGCGCGCGCGCGCGTGTGTATACACACCTCCTCCTGCTCCTACGCCACCGCCTCGTCCTGTCGTCGTCGCCGCCGACGTCCGCGCTCCAACACACAGACACGTGTCGCACGTACCGTCCGAAAGATTTTCTATGCATCACTTCTCTCCCGCGCGAGCGAGTGCGCGCTTAGCCAGTATACACAGGGAGAACACGTAGCGGAGAAAAGGAGCGCGGAGCGAGGGGGGAAAGAGGGGGAGGGGCGGGGGAACGGGGAAGGATATCCCAGCGCGCACAACCGCGACCGACACGCACGTTGGCAGGCGATGGGGAGCACAGGGGGGGGGGGGGGCAGGCGCGAGGGGGGCAGGCAACAACGTGTTATTTCTTTGAGCGGCGCGTAATAAATTTATCTACGCGCCAGCAGCATCTGCGGCGGGGAGTCCCGGTCGCCGCGACGGATCCACGCGTGGATTTCTCCACCTCTCGACTCGACGTCGACGTCGTCCCTCGTTGCCTTCCTTCCCTCGTTCGTCAGTCCCGCCGCGACTCCGAGGCCTCGGCACTCCCGACGGCGAACTCTCGACGTTCGCGAAAGTACCCGTTCCTGGCTCGCTCGTCGCACAGTCGTCGCACTCGCGCGGAGAGAATCGATCCGACGATCGTCGACGACGATGACGACGGTCGCGAATTTCGCGAGAGGCGGCTTCGGCCGCGGACAGCGAGTCCTTGGAACGTTTCCTACTTGTCGACGACGACGACGACGACGACGACAACGTGGGGAAGAATCGCGCGATCCTCTCTCGCTCACCTGCTCCGCCAACCAGTCTGACAATTAGCCATTTTGGTTCGCCTGGCTGTGCGAGCGCGCGCGCGCGCGCGCGCGTGCTCTCCCGACGACGCGACCACCGCTACCGCTACACTCGGTTCGCTCCTCGTGTCGCGGCAACACGACGACGACACCCTGCACGCAACGCGAACGACGAACGCCGACTGCGATAAATCCGCGTCCCGCGATCCGCCAGACCGCCACGGACTACGGAGCCGCGCGCGCCGTGCTTTCGAGGACCGCCAACTCTCTCTCTGGCGCAGCGCGCAGGCCGCGCAGCTCGACGAGAGTTCGCCGCGTACTCGCGGAACTCGCGGCGCGGTCGTCGTTTATCGTTAGAGTGCTTTTCATTTGGCGACACGAGCGTCATTTCTGTCTTTTTTCAGGCCGTACGATAGCAACTTTTGATTGGCCCGGCATTTCTTGGCACCTCCCGCCGATGTTTGAATTGGCCGATGTGGAAATGGCAGTAAATCGTCGCAATAAAAATTGTATCGTAGTAAAAGCAATGGATAAGAATTTTCTCTGTACAGAAAACGTGAAGAATCAACAGGTTGAATAATGAAACAAAAGAAAAGGGAAAAAAGAACAAAAAGATTACAATAATAATTTATTGTATTGACACTCTTTTATTAAAATGGAATATATGATGAACCATATGTATGTACATGAACATGAAAAAATAACGGCTTTCACGAAATGTTTTCAAGTAAAAAAAAATTTTTTAAATGACTTAAAAAAGAAAAACGCAAGATAACTAATAACATTATTACTAAAACACGAGTAACTTCTAAAATAATAATCTTTATATAAATATTAATGTGAATTCTTATTGTGTATGGAAAACATAAAATTCTTATCGGGAAATTAATTATGGCTATATTAATAATGTTAATAATCCCGAATTTTCTTAAATAATTAGCAGTTTATCGAACCATTTTAGTATATTTTGTTTGTAACTTATATGTCGGTAACTTATATTTGTGTGCGATATTTTCAGGAAGATTTATCACTTTATTACTAATTAAAGCTTATCAGATTTTTAAGATGAGGTAGGTCGGCAATAACATGCAAATACCTATTTATATCGCAAGGATGTATAATACAACTGACTGTATTACTATATCTTCCTGTGTTGATACCCAACGGTTTCCAAATTCCAGTGTTTCTTGGACCCCATGGTATAAAATTCACGTGGAAGCCCGCTGCTTCTGCTTTATGCACAATCTGAAATATTATTACCTTTGCTGATTTACTATTCAAACTGTTATCTATAAAATAATATCCTACTATGTTTCCAACGATCAA